ATTTCAATTATACACAACTAATTGAATCACTTTCAAGAATGGATGCTTGACGAAGCATTTAAAACCTCGGAGGGGTTTTGTATGATGACAAAAAGCCTTATGAATCAAGGTCAATGCTGTATCTTTTTTAACGTATTCATTAAGGCACATTTTGAATTATTTATTTTAAAATCCTTAACTGCGCACTGAAATATGTTTTAAGAAATTTTCGTCTTTTTATCAATAAACAAGCAGCAAAATCATCAATTTTTGTACATTTTTAAAAGCATAGTATAACTAGCACATTGATAAACTTTATCATTGAGTCAACAATGCACCTCAATTTCCAATCTAAAAAGGTTTCATAACAAAAAAAGTTCAGTTTTCTATTTCAAACTGTTCCGTACATTGAGCTTTTTCGTGATCACTTACGTTCGGTCAATTCTCTATAGGAAGCATTCGCTGTCGATTGCAAAAAAAAAAATTGCTGAAAATTTAATAAAAGGAAAAAGTCCACCAATTTTTAAAGATGAATATTTTCTCATTTTTTCCAAGATTTTTTGTGATTCTTAAAAAGTTTCCGAAGATATTTTTGGGAGTCATCCATGAGCGAGGTTACCTCTTTTATGGAATTCAAAAATAATGGTCCTGAAAGTATCACGTTATGTCTAGAAGAAAATTTAAACGCAATCTTATTTTACCGATACTTAACAGACTGACGTCACTAGCAAAATATCCCCCCGACGACAGAGAAACCGATTAAAAAGTTTATTTCTTCTTCTCTCCATTAAAATTTAGAATTGACGGATGAGTGAATTAAATGGGTTGAATTTGATACGAAGCAAATAATGATTTTAGGGAGGAATGAGTTGCTAGGGTTGTGGTGCAGAAATCTAGAAGCAAATTTATCACAACGTGATGAAAAATTGGATTTTATACCAACGAAACGAAACGATTTGGTGACATGGCAATTTTTTATTTCGAGCGATTAAGCACATTGCTATTCGCACTGTTTTGTCGTCTAATGCATTGATACCAAAGTTCACTTTAACATTATCGTCATCATTTTGACAAAAATAGAGCGTTGTGAAGGAAAATATCATTGAATGAAGTGAATGAATAAACGTATGAATGGATGCATGAAGACCTTCAAGATTTATGTGCTAAAGAAAGCTTTCAATTACACAAGATTAACTTATTCTGAGATATGTTGTGTATATTGTATTACAGTATGAGGATATTCTTGTCTAAGAACTCTTTAATTACACGAATATGATCTTTGTAAATAGAGCTGATAGATTATTTGTGTGTCATCAGTACGGTTATTCTTGTTTCTACTTCTATAATAGAAATGTCCATCTGTTGGACATGGAAGGATTAAAATGACTGGTTTTATTTATCTCAAATAATGTAAATCTAATTTCCTTGTTAATTACATTTCCTCTTTTTAACATCATCTAAACATACCTAAAGCCATTGAAGGTAAATAAGGATAAACACAATCAAATGTGTTCAAAAAGAAGTGTTTTTAACATTAACTGTACCCAAAAAACAGTGTTTTAACTTCTTATTTGTGTAAATTTGCTTGTTTTAATGAAAAAATATTAATAACTCTTAAGTATTTTGCTTGAAAATAAAATGTCACCTGATGTCACCCCATGTTTATTTTCTTCTTGGTAAAAGCTATATCAATCCAACCAAACTTTTCTTTTCTCGACCTGCAATGCAATGACCTGTTGATTTAATGTCGCGTGTTTCTAACGAGCTTTTGCTTATATGAACATTAAATAAAGCTTTTTAAGTAACAAGGCTGTTATTGCTATAGATTGTTGTGCCTTCTTGAGAATCTTTAGGGAATGAGGCATTGGCAATAATAACCGACAAGCACATTGTGGTCAGGTCGACAAGTTAACGTTGCAAAGGACATGGAAGTGCTGGAAGTTGTTGTCATTCTTTTAATGTAAGGTTTTGAAAAAGTAAAATTTAAAGTGTTTCGTTGAACGTTATGATTTATGAGTTGGATTCTAGTGATTTCCTCACTTTTTGGAAATTTTAAATTAACCGCAAAAATATCGTAATCAAAAAAAGGTTATAAGCCACTGTTTATAAGATTTAAAGCTCAATTCTTAGAAACATCACGCTGTGAAAGAATAAAAATCTTACGAAATATTGATCTTAAATGAAAAAGTGTGAGATGGGTTGTCAGTTGTAACTGACTTTTAATAACTTATCAATTCCCACGCTCATTTCCTAAAAAAAAAAATCTCATCAAAAAAGATTGTTTTTACACGTCATGCCATTAAAGAAATCGTACCAAAAAGCACTTCTTAAAATATAGGTAATGATTCACAAGAATTTTAAAATTTTCATCAATCAATTTTTGTAATGCTGAACATAGTTTGTTAATATAATGATGTCATTTAAACTTTAATCCCCAATTATAATGGCAATCAAACAAACAAATCCCCAAAATTATGCGCATTAAAAATCCCCATTCAGCATGACATTTAAAGCTTGTTAAATCATTAAATATTTTATGTCTAAAAACACGCTTCGGTTGTGTCAAAAAAACTGAAATTTAATACTGATAAGCATTATGATGGCTATGTATAAAGGAGTGCGATAATGTGATGTTGCTGATGATTTTTGCTGTGAACTCAAAGATCCCTAATGACTAGAAATATATTGTCGGCTGTAATTTAATACATTCTGTAGATAATATTCCACAAGTGTGGCAAGTGGGAGTGGGATCAGTCATAAGGAGGAACAAGCATGACTTTTAATCATGAGAAAAGAAAAGTTTTAATGATGATGAAAATTTTTTCTTCATTTTTTCATCTTTCGAATTAGTGCAGAAATGCTGGATTCGAAATAGAAAGCTATTTTTATGCATCTTGCAAATGCCTTGCAGGCTCATTAAACACCAACCGATAAAAAGAGGAAGGAGATAACGTAGAAAATTGCAAGGAAAGAAGAAAGTCATTCAGACATGATTGTTAAATGTATTACCATTAAGCATAATTGATTTTACTTAATTTAATGACTGGCAATGTCAGTTGATTCCATAATATTTTTCAATGAGTCTATTAGGAGTGGAATAGCTCACGAGCGTTAATCAATATTGTCGAAAGATTTTTTTATGACGCTTATCAAAAGTAAATTACATTTATCCGAATTTCCTTATGTTGTGGCTGTTGAGCTGTTTATTCGTGACGTCCATCATTGATGTGATTTTTCAAATGTCACACCAACTTGTTCTTCTAAATATAGTCAGAAATCTGCATTTTACAATGCCTTAGAACGAGAGAAATGTCAAAAGGATTTGATACTTATATCTGAAAGAACCGCAATCCTAGACATCATTATTAAATAAACCCTTAAAAAACTCATCCTCCTTCAGTATTGAAATTTAAGTGAATAAAACATTAAAACGGCAACTCAAGTTTTATGTTCTTGTCGCTATGGATTTTTACGGGTATTTTTTATTCATTCAATGAAAATGTTGATGTACTTATGCATTCAAAATGAATATCTTAATCATCATTCGACAAGAGCCAAAAAAAGTCCTAAGTACTCAATACATCTTTTATGATCTTTTGATTTGAGCAAATGCCACAAATCTTTGATCAAATGCATTTAATTCATTGAGGTTTTGTATGAAAATCCAATATTGGAGTTTGTTGTTGAACTTCTTTACATAATTGGAACGATATTTGAATGTAAACTTTTGAACTTTGAGGTTTATGGCTTTTTGTAGATTGAAAGAGCATTGAGAGAGTATTGATATCAAACCAATTGAATTAGTCCCAAGGAAAGCTCAATGCTTAGGAGTCAACATACTTTGGTATCAAATTTTCTAACACAAGTTATATCACTCACAAGCTTAGATAAGCATTTCCATTATGAATTCTGTGGAAAAGTTGTGCTTTGTATTTTATCTTCAGATGACAAATAAATCTTGTTAAACGTTTCACCGGAATTATTAATGAGTTTACAAAATAAACAATTCTTAAGAAATAATCTTGTCCATGAACTTTTGTTTTGAGAAATTAGCCCTAAAATTGTGTATTCTTCACTCTCCAGGCTATTTTTGTTTTTGGAAGTTTACGTCAATGCATCTAAGCAATAAGTTTTGAACTTTATGTTACAATTAAATGTTATGGTAAGTCGGTTCGTGAGATCTTTTGAAGTCATATTTGTAGAACAATTAAAACCATTACACAATGGTTTAATACTTAAAGTCATGATTACATAAAAATCAGCACATGCTAAGCAGCTTAAAGACATTTAGATCAAAATTCATATATTATGCTTGCCTTCAAAGTATAGAGCAAGAGCATCACTGAAAATGAGCCTGATTAATGAATTAATTAGGTCACAGTGATGAACTTAATATTTTTCACTTAGTTGCATTCACCTTCTACGTACGAAGATTACGTCATGATGAGCTATATCATGAATGATAATTTATCTTCGTCTAAAATAAATATTTTCTCTCTATTTTCATCATCCACAATGTCCTCCCCAACATTGCTTTTATTCGTGATAAAATAACAACTACATTTTATGCTACATGCGAGACAGAAGAAAAAAAGTTCTACAAGACTTGTGTCTCCTAATGAAAGAAAATAAGAAATTGCTTCCGCACATCTTGATATCATTTTATATAATCGTAAGCATATAGAGTATATATAAGCCCAATACACATCGCTGCACGAGTAAAAAGTTAAAAGATATCCATTGACTAGCACCTGTTGCTCCCCATAGTGGTTTTATATATATTTTCATATACTCAATAATTTTCAACCATAATGTTATGATAAAACACATTTCTCCGCTCTTTATTCTCCATTTTTATGTGTGTACCCTTAAGTATATGTGTACATAATGTAGCATGATGCTATTATATTTTAAGTCAACTGTTAAACAAAGGAAAGAAAATGAAAAAGTTGATAATTTAATTTATTCTTCCCCGTATTTATATTTTATAAATTGTATTTTTTCTGTTCTTATATTTTTAGATCATAGACATTAGAGACATACTGCGGGTGCCTAGCATAGAACAAATGAAGGACGTATATATTGTTCAGTGTTTAATGGAGACTGATTTATACAAATTGTTAAAAACACAAGTAAGTTTTTTTAATATTTAACTTTTTTTAAGGTTTTGTGAGAAATTTTCGCATGGAATTTTGAATAAGATTTTAAAATGCTTTAATGCGTTTCTTATCAAGCAAGAAGTTTGTGTAAAGGGGAGAAAAAGTACATTATTGATAGGAAATGAACCATTAGAAGGAAAAACATGAAATTTTAATGCGCTCATTCAGTTGTAAATGATAAATTTATTCCATAAACTTTTATTCTCATTTCCTTCCCATAAAATAATTAAATTGAGTTTAGATCATTTACAATTTTAATTGAATTTGTTTTATTTTTTGTTTTTCTTGGAATAATATGAGTTAATTGTTTTGTTGGGAGATTAAAATGTATCCTTTTGAAAAATTATAAAAGCTTTTCTAGGTTTTAACAGTGATTCACAATTAAATAAATCGTTCAAAAGATCTTTAATTGGACGTTCAGCGAATGTTTAAAAATGTTAATTTGAATAAATTCAAACATTTCAATAACTGGTTCAAACTACGCGTTAAAGGCTTGTCCAATGATATATAAAAATACGTTTATTAAGTTTTAAATAAAGTAATTTAGCTTGTGATCTAAAAATCTCGTTTTTAAGTGAATGTCATTGATGAACCCTTTACAAAATGAAATTGCAGACGTGGCATTTTCACTTTGAATCATTACTTATCTTATTTCATTCGAACTGTAACATGAAATAGGTCGGTAGATTATGTTGGAAGTGTATAGGGGCCGTTCACTTATTACGTTACGCAAAAAAACGACTTTTTTCAACCCCCCCCCCCCTTGCGGCCCCATAGGGATTCGCAATTCTTAAATACTCAATTTTAATTACTTATATCATTAAACTTTAAAATTATTGATCCCTGGTATTAAAATAATCATGTTAAATCCATCTATCATAACAAATGTTCCCAATTTCTAGTCTTATTGACATTTTAAATAATTCATAATTAATCTGAACGATAAAGATACTTCCTGAAAACGACACTGAGGACTCAAAATAAAAACAACTCACTTCAGAACTCATTTAGATTTTCTAATTAAAACAAAACAAGTTGGATATACTATGTATATAAATCGTGCCTTTACAAATTGAAAAAATTGTTCCAACGCGTTGGAAAAATGGTAAACATTTGATAATGAAAAATTTAAGGAATTTTCTTTCATTTTTCATCTGATTTCCATTAAAATATTCTACCAAGGACTTCCCCTGTGTTAAATTTACGAGAATTTACTAAATTATAGAGCTTCAAATGAAATACCAGCAAGACCATAAGGAACAACATAAATTTCCATATTTTGGGTTCATATTAAATACAAAAAAGGACTCCTGCTTTTGAATGATTTAATTTTTGGCTAGAGGGAAAGCATAAAAATGTCGAAAAAAAACTTCCTTGTCGTGTCGTTACATCTGAAAAACAATTTTCCAGCAACGCACAATGATGATGACAAAAAATGATGTTTTTCTTTCTCTTTTCCGCTTTATAATGTTAAAGCACATACCAACAAAAGATTATTCAACATCCCCTCAAAACAAATTTATATGGATTTAGGATATATTCCTCCTGTATGAAATGAAGTAACTCACCTATTGTGACAGTTCCTTCTTTTTCGTCCATTATAGAAAAGAAATTTTTTGGTGTGTTACAGTCATAGCTGTCATGCGAACTTTTTGGATATACAATCAAATAGAAGACCATAAATCTCAATTCTAAATGGACACTTAATCCATTCGTATATACACACGAACACGCTCGAATATTTTTTACTAAGTATGATTGCTCATCTTTGTATTGATTGCTGATTTTATTATTATTGATGCTAGACTTTGTCAGCATGGCTAGATTGTATCTAGGGAGTTCTTTAATTTATAATACTGTAAACATTAAATGTGATGTTCACTAGACTAAATCAGTAGATTTTATCTAGTTTAATTTGAGTGTGCCGCCAAACTAGACTCTGCAGTGTATAGCTTGAGGATGCAATCGTTTATGTGGCCTCCTATAGGAATAAAACTCACATCGTCGGTAAAGTAAAATGTCTTGGAAGGTCCCAATGTTAGCAAAGAGAACAGAGTCAGTTACAAACAAAAAAAATTCAAAGTTTTCGTGCGGTATTTTTTTAAAATTTCAAAATAAGAAAGTCCGTTACTTTTTAATTTTTTAAACTAGCTGTTTTTTAAAGCATAAACATTATAAGCATACAATTTCATCACAGTGATTATCTTAATCATAAAAACTAGTAGGAATGTTCACTAAAATTACAAATTACTTTGAAAAATAATAATTCACAACGAATTTTTTTAAAAATAAGAACTTCGAAGATTCGATTTTCAAAAAATAAGAACCTCAAAAATTCGAAGTTCGAATAATAAGAACTCAAAAATTTCCGTTTGCTAGCATTGGGGAAGGTCTATCCATTGAAGACTTACCAGAAAGACTTTTTGGGTCGATTTCCTTCGATCGTTCCTTAATCATTCTTAAGAATTTAAAAATTTAAAGCTTTACTCACGAACTGGCACGCTTTCTCACTCATAAATTAGCACAATAAGTCATCAAGAGCTTAAAAAGCACCAGTTCATAGCCAGTCGTTCAAACATCTTTTAACAAATAGAAAATGAGTTCTCAGAACATTTAAATGGAAAATTTCAAGCTTTTTCATGTTTATTTCAAGAATCATTAATATACCTTAATATAACAAATATTGAGTCATAACAACCAGTTAATTGCTAGAATTTCTTCCTTATTTTGAAAATTTGGCTCTGTTTTTCCATCAATTTCAATGGAACCGAAGAAAAAAAAATCATCATTACGTCCTCTATTCACATCATGAGAAACATTCTTATGTCAACAAAATGCGAAAAGGAAATATTTTATATTCATGCTTTCCCAAATATTTATTCAGATTTCTGTTAGACTTGATAAAAGTTTTATCTAGCGTGAAAAAAAAGTTAACATTCATTTTCTTATTTTGTTTATTTTGTTCAACAGAGATTGAGTAACGATCACATCTGCTACTTCTTATATCAAATATTGCGAGGTCTCAAATACATACATTCAGCCAATGTTCTTCACAGAGACTTGAAGCCAAGTAATTTGCTGTTGAACACTACATGTGATTTAAAAATGTAAGTTTGAGCATAGATTTAGTAACATTATACGGATGTTGCCGTATTCTATGTGATTTATATGATAAAATTTCCTTTTTATTTCCTTAATCTCATCACAACCTTCTCCCATGTTTAATATTCATCACGCATCGTTCAGATGCGATTTTGGACTCGCAAGAGTAGCTGACCCGGAACACGATCATACTGGATTCTTAACAGAATATGTAGCAACGCGTTGGTATCGTGCTCCGGAAATTATGTTGAATAGTAAAGGATATACAAAGTCTATTGATATTTGGTAAGATGAGGAAGACAAGTTTACATATTTTATCAATTAATTTCTCATTTCCTTAAACTGATGCGCAGGTCTGTCGGCTGTATTCTCGCCGAAATGCTCAGCAATCGTCCAATATTTCCCGGAAAGCATTATTTGGATCAATTGAATCACATATTAGGAGTACTTGGATCACCATCACAAGACGATTTAGATTGCATAGTGAACGAAAAAGCTCGTAGCTATCTCCAGTCATTACCTTTCAAACCGAAAGTACCGTGGAATAAACTCTTCCCTCAAGCTGATCAAAAAGCATTAGACTTGCTTGGCAAAATGTTAACATTTAATCCATACAAAAGGATATCTGTCGAGGAGGCTCTCGCGCATCCATATTTAGAGCAATATTATGATCCAGCTGATGAGGTGAGTTTTTCTGTGACTTTTGAAAAAAAAATATTTTTGTTTACGCTTCATCGGGTGATTGATGTGCTTTTTTATATCGCATTTTTGCATACACAATTTTTCTTTATTCTAACATTTGTTAGTCATTTTGAGATTATCGCGATGCTCGTTGAGTCATTTTTTAAATTAAGTACAATTTTTGAGATGACTTTTAAGCCAAATGTGGAAATTTGCATCAATTGTTTTGAAATGTGTAAGCTAGTCATTCAGTGATGAATTTTACTGGGATTTTTACGTGAATTACACTACTTGTACGTAAAACTTAAACAGAATTCTTGGTGAATTTTAACTGTACGTAAAACTTGTGAGGGAAACTTGTACGTAAATCATGAATTGGAGTTGTTGAATTTAAAATTGTACGTAAAGTAGGTTTAATTTGAAGCTTGCATGCAAAACTTTAACGTAATTTTCAAAGTTGCACTTAAAACTTGAACATAAATTATATTAAATCTTGAAACTTTGGTTGAACAAATGAAAACATTTCATCAAATTTTGCTAAATTTAGTTTGCATATTAATTTTAAACCAATAAACATTTAATTTCATAAAAATTAAATTAGACTTTCGATTTAATTCAAAAGTCGATGTCAACAGCTCCAAGCAATTTCATTCTACTCTCTGCACATAGCTTACTAAAGTTTTGCTACAAACATTGTCAGCTCATTGAACTAAGCATGTTAGTAATGCTACATACAGAATTCCTGCATAAAGCATGTCAGACAGTCAATGAACAGACAGAAAAGTTTTGTAAAGCAACTTCACGTGATTAAACGTCATGAACATTTACATAGAAAATTAACAAATTCATTAATCATTATTAATTATTATTCTTTTCACTTTATTCAATGAATATAGCCTGTTGCTGAAGAGCCTTTCCGCATCGCAATGGAATTGGATGACTTACCAAAGGAAACGTTAAAACAGTTAATTTATGAAGAGACATTGCGTTTTGCTGATTCTAATCACGAGCCTGAAGCTTAAACATCTTATGATCTCACCAAAAAAAAAAAAATATGAAACAAACCATAATGGATATATTAAAACTGAAATGGATAATACAATGGATGTTCATCACATCATTTAGAGAAAAAAATTCACATAATAATGAAAAATGAGTGAAGGGAGAAGAATAAGAAGAAAAATTAATTTTACAAATGGATGGCACTTTTTTATCATCATCAGTCTCTGGATGTACAATTACAATACATTCAAATTAATTTTATTAATTAATAATTCATTTTAAAAAAACAAAGGCATAACATGATAATTGTAAAGAACACAAATTCATTCTTCTTTTTATTGATTAACGCATGTTCAAAAAAAATATATTAAAAAAGTTTTTTAATTCTTGATGTTTGACAAAGAAATTGTAAGAAAAAGCTTCAAGAAAATGGAGTGGGAAAAATTGTTGATATAAATTTTAATCGTGATTGATTATCAGAACGCTAAACGTTCGTAAAAAAACATTTTATTGTAAAAATGCAGGGATTTGCGCTTCAAAAAAAAACTAGTGTTTTAATACTTTTAAAAGTCGATTAAGTCAAAATGATGATAAACGAAAAAAAAAGAAAGAAATTCATTTCATAATTAATAATCTAATTGTAGTTCTTTATGCATTTCAATTTTAATATGTAATTAATTGTCGATGTTTGTTTATTGCATTCAAAAGCAATCTTTCAATTCTATAAAAATGAGAATAATTGAACATTAAAAGCAACATTTTAAAGAAAATGACAAAAGAAAATTTCAAGTTTAGTTTTATTAGAAAAATGGAAGACATCAGCTTACTTAAAAGTTTACATCCATTTTCCATTTGATTTAACGGCTGGAACGTAAAATTGTGAAGCTTTAGGCGCTTATATTTTTTTTCTTTTTGCTACGCAATATTAAACTCTTGTTTTTGAGGAAACTAGGGCTACTGTGCTGGATTATCGTTTATTGTGAACATATGTTGATACTCACCACTATAATACCGAGGAAATGAGCTTTTCGTAGCTTTCATAATCTACTATGCTCACCGTTATACCGAGTAAACATTCTTAATTATGCACAGATGCGCGTTTATTGGGAATAATTCAATGAATTTATTGCAAAAGTAATAATTTTGTGTGGTACACATTGTATCGCACGTGCAAAATATAATTTAGGTACGCAAATTTTCCGTTTCTTGTTCTCGTTTCCCCGATATTTGTCATGGGAAATTCTATTCAAAATCACACAATTTCCCATCATTTCCTCCAAGACGAACCTAATAAACTTTATTGTTTTCACAAAAAATGGCAGAAATTTTTCACCAATTTGATTTACTACCGCTTCTTTAGTAATTGAGACGAAAGTCTGTAGCTGTAAACTTATTTTATGAGATACTGGCTGATGGGTGGGGATCAGAATGATTTTGTAATGAGGTTGGGGGTTGTTTTTTCTTCAAAAATGCTCCGCAAAATTGTCAGAATCTTAGACCAGCTTTGACAAGCATGTGGCATAGCCCATGACGCCACAAGTATCCAATTCAAAAACACTTCACTTATCGACAATAGCAAAACGAGTCGGGAAAGAGGAAAAAGAGAAAGTTTTTAATTTAATAAATTGCTCGTCATGTCTAACTGCCATCCATTCCATCTGAATGCCCATAGCATAAAATAGAAATCCTCATATGACACCTAAATGTCTCACCTACTCTTCATCAAATTCATTTATTTTTTTTCCTACCCAATTTGACATGGAAAATATTTATGCGAGAAACTCCCTGTTGATTCCAATCATTTTAATTTATAGTGTCCAATATGTTATTAATTAATAATAATTTGAAACAATCATGGCATCAGAAATAACACGTGCCAGTATCAATGATGTTACCATCACATTTTATTTTTTTCTTTCTTAATTCTACATCAATATCCACCAACAATTGTCATCAAAATAAAATAAAAATCACATAGGTACATAAAATAAAAGTGAGAAGATAAGGAACAAGAAATTGTAATAAACATGCGAACAAGAGTTGTTTTTAATTAATTATAGTTAATGCTAAGATATTTGAGGTAATGAGAATAATTTTTATGCTCTCACTATCTTAATTTAAAGAGAATCAACACTTATTATCATTGCAGTTTAATAAAATATATTATAAAAAAAAATAGATAACGACAATGAGTGTAAATGGCTTTATTTGTGGATGGTTTTGGTGTACAATAGACCCACCTTTGTGAAATATCAATAAATTTAAGTTTCACAAGCCTTGAAAGAATTTGAATAAATTGTTCGTTATTTTTTACGTACAAGTTGCGAAGTTATTCTTTACGTACGTATTTTGCAAATGAACTTATGTAATTAACTACGTTTTAAAATATACGTACGTAAAACGTCTGCATTTACGTAACAAAATACGTACGTAAATTCAAATTCACAAAACCCGTTAAAATATTATTCATCCAAAAACCAAAAGTATTCACAAATAGACTTCAGTAATTAATTCTAATACATTTTTCCGAAAAACAGACTTAAATGCCATCTCGTCCAATTAAAGCTATTTACGCTCATTGAGCAAACATAAAACAATTTCATGGTGATATGGATTAACGTAAAAAATGAAGTTATAAAAAAATATGAAAAAAAATTGCTAGATAATTTAAGAATATAAAATAAAATAAAAAACATTTGGAATCAGTTCACTCAATTAGTGTGTTGCTGAGGATATAGCTTGTGAATTGTTATGATAATTACTAAAAAAATATTATTAATATATTTTTTTTTTGTTTTTATGCGCTTAATTAAAGTAAATTATAATGTCAATGAATGCAACGTCACTTCCATATCCTCAGTAACACAAGTAATTGCTAGTAGAATAAAAAAATAACGTTGATAGAGAAACAAAGCATAAAACATATGTTGAAGTGAAATTTAAGTAAAAAAATCATTTTTTTGATATGATGATTAATTAATCTATAAAAAAAAAGAAGAAAAAAAATCAATTTAATTAAGCGATAAATGTTATTTCATGCATTTTTATCAATAATAAAAAACATTTTTATTTCTCTGTCTACGTCGTAAGTTTATAATGTTCGCCGATGAATTGTGCAAACAAGAAATTAGATATAAAATATACATTGCAAAAAAACGAGAAGTTAGTGAAATGAGAGATAAATGAGATAGAAACAAATAAAGTATTCACAAAAGTTATTTCAAACTTGTTATTCTTCTTGATAATTAAAATTCATTTTTAATCAGCTTGTCCCCTTCCCCCTCTGTACTTCTGCATAGCATTTAACAATCTACCAAGCTACATTTTCACTTTTTAATGTCAATTTTTCTGATTTAAGAAGTTCGTTTTTTCAAATTTGAATTTCCGCTATTTTTTGAATTCGAATTTTCAGTTGTTTTTCAAATATTATTTGACAGTTAAAAATCGTAATTTAATTTTATTTCCTTTAAAAATTTATTGTATCTTATTTTTATTACTCTTCCTAGTTTAACATTTTTATTGCCTCACATCCACAACAATTTTAAAAAGATATTAAATTAAATTGTTACTAGCCATAGTACTTACTATCTATATTAAATCATCCATATAAAGAAGATATATTACAGTTCAGATGATACACAAACATCTATGGTCTGTCAGGATACATTTACTTGTCGAAAGTATGTTACATGCTTGTTATTTCCCAAAGCAGTAAGAAAAAAAAAAACAGCACATTAAGATGTAAACTATGTCGTTGGTACAATCTTACATAATCCAATTAAATTAATGAGACGTTAACTTTAAGGATGTGGTGTAAATTCCACTGAAATGTTATGAATCTTATTGAGTTACTTTGTTTGTTGTGGCATCAACTATGGATTAAATTATGTAATTGAAAGATGCTTGCATAGTTTAAGGTTATTAATTGGTGTTTTAAGAAATAATTTCTTAATTAATTTATTGTTTAATTCTTTCTTGGAAGACATAGCATGGATTCAAATTAATAGGAATTTAATTATTGGCGCATTGTTTTTAACTAGGCTCTTCTGAGTAATACTGCATATTTCCAAAAGATTTTGCGTTTATTATATGATTTAGCAAGAATCTATCAAGACATTTTAATTGAACCTTTTTCTTATTGACAAAGACACTTTGATCTTTGGTAAAGGCATGAGCTTGAGATTTTTATGTGATATCCGTGCCTTGCCTTTCATACGACAAGCAAATAACCGCAATAATGTGACAGACCATAGATCAAACTTCCATAAATATCAATAAACCTTGAAAAATTATTCCCTGTAGCAATAAATAATTTGATTTACATTTGAAGCTTGTGAGCTGAATTTTAAATTGCCTAAAATTTATTAACCAAAAATTATTCAATTTATGATAATTGATTTGGAGTTTAAGAGCTGTTCATAAATAACGTCTAACATTTAGGGAGCGTCTGGATTGTTTATAATTTTTTTGCTAAGGCAAGCTTTAGAAATCTCATTTTTTGACAGACGTCATTTATGAACAGTCCTTTATTTTCTTAATCAAACATCCAATTTCATTCAGTTCTTCGCATGTGGGCGATGAAGCTCTCAAGTATCATAATGATTGAATGAATTTCGGTCTATAAATTTTAATTGCTAACTGCTAGGTCTAAAATATTTTAATATCAGGAATAGGGTATAATTAAGAAAGTTCTATGTGTGATTTTTTAAAGAAATAAAAAAAACTGTTGAAGAAAATAAAGTTTATTCTTATCTGAAATGATAGTTTTGAGTATGGGTGTATCCTAAAAACAGAAGTGAAGATCGAAAGAGAGTTGACAATTGTAAAAGGTCCTCATCGAACACTTCTGTTATAGGTTGTTATAGAATTTATTGAATAGAATAGGTATAGAGGAAAATAGGCTAGTCTTTCAAAATGATCTCAAGCTTTATTTCCTTTTTACCAGTGATTGAAAGCAGTTTCAAGTTGAGGACTTTTAATATATGTGTTTAATGAAGATAAGTCGTTGTATGGAGGAAAGAAGTTTTTTGAAACATTTCTATTTCCTTTCCAACGTACCAAGATGTTGGCTTGTTCCATTTAGCTTCACCGGTACAAACAGCCTTATTTGTCAGCGTCAAAGGAAAATGAAACGTTAATTCTAAAGTAATCTGTAGATAGCTGCGGATCTTTGTGAAATCTGTTAAAGATCCTGCCTGTGCGTAGAACATAATTAATCTACATTCAGATTTTTCTAGGTCAGTTTTTGTCTTATTCGATGGATTATACTCATAAGCTCGCTTCTTTTAATACAAATAAGCGTGCTTCTTGTCCATTAAGATCAAATATTTTCATTGATATCAACTTTGAATAAGAAAAAGACTCGTGAATTGTAAAAATTGACTACCTGAACGACAACCCTCTCACATGGATACATCCTCTACTTTTAAGAAAGTTCTTTACATTAAATATCCTTTGTAGATGATAAAATCAAAACAAAAAAGTAAAGTTTCACACCCAGGGAATAAATAAAAGTTCTTCTCTTCTCTATCCTTTTATCGATAGCATCTAAAACTGTTAAGGAACTCTTTTTCTCTCTCATTCAAACCAAGATAGAACAGAAAAGTTTCATATGATAAGAAATCCTAGTTACAGAATCCGAATTAACATATATATATGAAAAACAACAAATTTAACAAGTTATAAACCCCAAAATAGACATATTACAATACCTACTTATTATTATCATACAATAAACATTGAAAAAAAAATAGAATGTAGAAAATGAGAACAAAAGAACAATATGAAGACAATTTTTTTGAAACATATTCCGCAACATTGCTTTGTCATGAAATATATTCATTAAAATTTATCACGTGCCATTATTATAACCTAAACGAGAAGAGAGAGAATCAAGAAGATTTTTTTGGGACGAAAATGAAGAAGAAAAATCATTTACAAGAGTGTTTGGATGTTTTGCAGAGCAAACTTTTTATAAACTGCTTTTAAATTTATTAAGATCTAAAAATCACATCTTTTGGTGATAGCTCAAGGATATTTGGTTATTTTAAATGATTAATTCTTGGTTGTGTGACAGTTGTGCGACATTCTTGTGACCATAACCATCAAGGTTAGAAAATTTGCTTTAAAATCAGACAATTAAGATTAAAGGTATGAATTTATATTAATGAATTATTTTCGGCAGCTTAAGACTTGTCTAATTGAATGTTTAAGTTCATGAATCAGTTATTCTTAATTATCTATACCAGTGGCCCTCTCCGTGACACACAACTATGGCGCAACATCTTCTCAGTTTTGTTGCTCCCATTCAGTAAGTGTGGTACGGAGAAACCGTCCCAAGAATCATTGAAACCATATTCCCTATCATACTAGTTAGACTAGAGATTCCCCAATTTTTCTTTCAACTCAAAATAAATTAAATTAAATTTGATCCAACTGTTGCACTTATGTCACATCAACAAAATTTAATTGGAATTTTAACGAATTTTTGAAATAAATTTTAACAAAATTAACCCTCAAAATAATTCTTCGAAATTAATTTTAAATTCTTCATGGCATGCGAAACGAAACAAAGTCTAAAGAAATTTGAGTAACAAAGAAAATTCTCTATAAAGCTTAATGTATTCTCATGAAAAAAAAAATTATAAAAGAGAAAAATAAAAAATTTTTCCCATAGCTATAAAGATGTCAAAAAGGAAATTTTTTTTTGTATTCCATACAAACTTGGATAAAATATACCTAAAGAGTGCCGAAAGCTCTTGTAATTAATGCTATTAAAAGAAAAGAGAAATGGAAATTCTGGTTAATGACTTAACGCAAGAAAAACTTTAATTCATTTAATTATACATTTTAATTTTTTGTTTCTTCTCATTTTTGTTAAAAGGATGGTTCCAAAACAGGCCGTAAAATGTATAACGTAAGTGAATTAATAGACAGAATAACTGGGTTTGCACAAATTTGTACATCAACAATAATGAAAACCTTAATTTTAGATAAAAACTGTTTCCAAATGAACGAAAATTAAAGATTAATCCATAGATAATTTTAAAAAACTAAAAGAAATTATAACGGGGATGTTCATAAATGACGTCTATAATAGAAGAAGATTTTTTTGTCACATTTTAAGTAACCTAAAAGTAAAAACAAATAAGCTATTAAAAACTAAGAGACATCTTAGATATTCAGGTCTGTTTAGATTACAGATTCTGCAGTTTGATTTCAGAATAATAAGATTTGTATAGCGAGAATCTGTCAAGACATTCTGAAAACTAATTGAACCAAAATCCATCGATTTTGTGAAGATCAAATTTTAAGTAAAACTTCATTCAGAACATAAATTTTCTTGTTGTGTTTTGAATTTGCTACTTCCTATTTTTACTCCAGACAAACTTTCTAAATTAGGATTGATTCATCTGGATGTAAAAAGAACTGATTTTATAAAAGATGGACCAAGTCTAAATTATATGAATCTGTTCTAGTCTAGGTAAATTGTATATTTATCAAAGATAGATCCAACTAAGATTTTCTTAAACTTGGCAAACAGTCAGTTTAGATCTAAATTATGGACGTCATTATCGGTAACAACCCCGTGTTAAAAAAAAGGAAGCATTTTTTCTCTTTAAAAATTGAAAGAAAAAAATAAGAAAACTATAATAAATGTTTTAATTAAGTGTATGCTACAAACATTTAAAAGTGATTGAAGAAAGAAAAATCAAATAAAAATGATGAAAAATTCATTAAGCAAAATCAAAAACCTTGCAATTGTTGAAATTTTAATGAAATTTCTCTCAATGAATTGTTGTCTGAATTACTGCATATCCTGTTGTCTGCTTCGTAACTGCTTTAAAAATCTTACACAAACTTAGTAAAGTGAACATTGAATGCAACAAATCTTGCTAAATTATTAATTAAATTGCTGACAACAGCTGTCTGAACTGCTTGGATATTGTATTGTAGGTAAGTGTCGTAAACTTTTCATTTAGACTGTTGAATGCTGTTGATCTATTTGTTGGGTTGAATAATCTTTTTGTGTAGAATCCTTGATTCGGATGTACACTAATTCACTCAAATTCTTATTGAAACTCTTGAAATGACAAATGAAGCTCTTGTTAAGACTAGCAGAACCTCTTCTTACACATTTTATACTTTATATTGAGCTAAGAATCAACAATCATATTCAATTTCATATTAACTGTCTTCAACAAATTTAATGGAAAGAGTTTGATATGACTTGTAAAACTGCTGTCGTTAAGCAACTTTTAAGGAACCAAAATAAAATTTGAACTTTTGATGCTTTTTAAATTTCATTCAATATTTCCTCATAAATTAAACAAATTGATGTTAACATTTTAATGTTCAGATATGAATGGAAATGCCAATTAAATTTTCCTTCCTTTTACATCTTCAATTCTCTTGAGAAATTACGTAAGTGATAATGAACCTTACACAAACCTTTAAGGCATTTAAAAGTCAATAGAATCATCAATCATAGTGCTTGTAGGCTATTATCCATTTAGACCATTGACTAGAAATTTGCTGCATAAATTAGATATTCTATGATGATATCGTAAGTTAATTACCATAAGGCTAGTCAATTACTTCCTCTTATTGTTTATCGGCCACCCACATAATCTAGATTGTAGGATGTCATCCGCATTTTCATGGTGATTTATGCTTTTGTGTGGCAGGAAACAATGGATGACTCAAACTGGAGAGGCTGGATTTTAATTGAGAATCTGAAGGATGGGATTGCTTATCTATGATGTTTGAATGGCTAGCTATGAACTTGGCTGGCTCGTTCTATTAGATCTTAACATTGAAGCACACGAGTTGAAAAATCCCGTGCAGCAACACACAGTTTCAAAAGCATCACAACGTCATGCTGACAAGTGAGGCACAATAACGTATGTTTTTAAGCCAATTTGTTAATGTACAGCACAGGAAAAATCTTAAACCAATCTTTCGCTTATGCCATTGTTTTTCAAACTTTTGGAGCCATGGAACATCTTGATGATAAGCCATAACCGAAGTTGCATACCGCACACGGCTCGTTTCGTTCCCAAAAAAAATTTACAGCACATTAGTTTACATTGGCACACATTTTGGACAACACTGGCTTATGCCAAGGGTGCTGCATTCATAAACTTACTTTTGATTGATGTCAAAAATCATTAGAAGTCAGCTAATTAGTCCTACAACCTTTGATTGAACCTTAAACAATGAAAGTAAAATTTTTTATTTAAGGCAGCAGAATCAATTGACTGACTTTATTATCCATAAAAGTTGTGAACACGTGTAAAAAAATTTATATTGAATTTCCATGTCTTGCGAAAGAAGAGTGCTGCACTTAATCTTGATTATTGTCCATTGTTTGATAAATCCATTTATTCACTAAGAAAATGCTTCCAAAATATTCTGCATAAACAGCATGTCCACATAAATGATCATTATGGGTAACAACACCAAGCAATGTGCCGAATTGAATACTCTCTAGGGGACCTCCAATATCACCTACGAATAAAGTTATGAAACATTTAAAAGTTATAAGACTCTACATCTTAGAAGTTCAGGTAGGGAATCGAAATCTTAACTATAGTTATACTTTAGATCATTTTGAATAGTTCCACACCGTTCGATCTGAATGGTTCTTCTATTTACCTGCACATACACCTTTTAAAGGAGACTTGACGCAGACCTTATTGAGAATTGAAGAACCGTCATTACAATAATCATTAATCAATTCCAGCACAACTCCTCTTAAGATTTCACTAGATTGCGTAGGGTTTTCCGTTTTTCCAAATCCTAAAGCTAATGCACTTCCGCTTTGCTTATACATGCTGGGATTAACAGCTAGTACGATAGCTTGACGCTTGTCATCAAAGATTATTGGATTAACAAGTTTGAGCATTAAAAAGTTGTATTCAGTTGAAGGATTTTCGAGGTCAGTGTAATTTGGATGAATGAATGCTTTAAGCACTTTATGAACCTGACCACCTGATAAACGACGAGACGATCCTGACCGAACACGCATATCTGTTTCTTCTACATCAACCTTACACTGAGCTGCAGAAAGTACCCAAAAATTGCTTATAATAGATCCACCACAGATAAAACGTCTAGTAAAATGTTCCAAAGATACAAAGTATGGAACATTGGTTATATCCATGATTTCGCCTCCGACAATTTTCCCTGACTCAGATCTTGCGAAATTTAATTGAAGACCGAGAATTAAAGTTAAAATAATCGACTTAAGATTCATTTTTTGTTCTTTTTTAACTTAGGTAAGCTGAACTACGATTTTGATAAAGTGAGAGTGGACGATAGCTTTATATACGATTCTAAGTCACTTAGGCTTTTACAGAAAGTGAAACTTGACAGTTTTACAATAGATTGTTCTTCAAATAATTCAAAATTATAGCTTTTCTTATCATTTTTAATAAATTACCCATTGTGCTAGCTTTTAAACTGCATATTAGCTAATATCGATTATGAAATATCCATCAGTTGTGAGTTTACAAAAGAAATAGATTTTAACTTTATTATCCATAAATGTTGTGAATACATTTTATTACAAGAATTCTGATTAAATCAACATTAATTACTACTCAAGACAAGATAAATCCAATTTTTTGCCTCTGAAACTTTTGCAAAAACATCTGGAATTCTAGAATAGTTACATGGCTCGTATCCGAAGCTGCTTACACCAAGTAATGTGCGATATTTAGAGCTTACTAAAGGACCACCTGAATCACCTAAGAGTAAAGAATAAAAATATGGAACAATTTTAAATCTTCAACAATTTAAAGATAGGAAATATTTCATTAAAATTGAATCACATTACCACTACATATGGCTGCATTTTGCCCTTTAGCGCACACCATACTTCGTGTCATCTCTGGATAAATGCTTATGCAGCATGAATCACCAGTTAACTGTAAAACAGTTCCTTTCAAAAACTCATCGGTTTCCATAGGATTTTTAGTTTCCCCAAATCCTGAAGCAAAGACTAGATCGCCTTGCTGATACATATGTGGTTCAGCAAGTTTAATGGGTTGACGATATGCATCAAAATTAATTGGATTTTGAATTTTTAATAGTGCAAAGTCGTAATCAAGGATATCATATGTGATTTCATGATAGTTCGGATGAATAAAGATCTTTATTACTTTATGAACTTCGCCGCCTTTTGAACGAATCGAAGAACCTGATCGTACAAACCATTCTGAAAGATTTACTGTTACACAATGAGCAGCAGTAAGTATCCAAGATTCGCTAAGTATAGAACCGCCACAAAAAAATCCTTTAGTGACATGTTCTAAAGCTACTTGCCATGGTACTTCATTTATCTCAATCCTTTTGCCTCCAAAGATTTTTCCATTTTTTTCAGTCTCAAAGAAGCTTCCGAATCTAAGCTGAAGAGCGAGAAGTAAGTTTAAAAATAATAATTTTAAATCCATTTTATAATCTTTGCTCTGCTGAACTGCATGCTTGAGTAAGTGAGGCTGAAAAGTAACTTTATATATGATTCGACTCATGAGTTCTTAAAGCTATGACTTTAAATAATTTAAAATTATAATTTTTATCAAGATTAATTCTTATAACGATTTACAATGCCTGCCTATTGTGTAACTTTTACTTCCGTATATTTCACTTTTTAATGCTTTCAGTGCCTTAGAAAATATCTTAATCGTGTCTGATATTAAAATAGGAATAAAAAAATCGTTAAATCCATGTCAAAACAAACATGTCATCGACTTGAAAATAAAAGGCAATTTGATGCATAGTCAATGATAAAGACTTCAAAAATATTGTTCCTTAAACTTTAAACACCATGAAAATATCTTCAACATTTTTATGCAAAAATTGTTTATTCTTCTCATTATGTTAACAGCGATTCTATCATAAACAAAAATCAACATGCTCATCAATCAAGTGAACAACAAAACAAGATAAATTAATGACATTTATTATTAGATTTTGTATCGTGTTGTAGGAATGAAAGCTTGTAGATCAAAACATTCGCGTATCCAAATTTCCTTAACAACTTCAGCTTTAAAATTAGTTGGTAACTTCTTGCCTTGCTTCGATATGATGTAGTGTGCCTTCTGTGGATTTTTCGTCACAATACCCAGCATGTGCTTAATATTATCTCTCAATTTGATTGTGTCTGTAGCTGACAGATCCTGATTTAAATAGAATATTTTATCTTTAAATGCTTGACATTCAACAGTTGTAATATCAATGGAACTGACACTATCGTCCTCTGAATAGACATCGGTTTCCATTTCTTTCTTATTGTTGTTCCTCTCATCGATGCTTTCTGGCTTTTGTTGTTGTTGCTGCTCATCCTCAAATCGATTTTTATTGTCATCATCATTGTCTTGTTTGCTGTCCATTTTATCATCCTTAATATTATTATTTTTGTTTGTTTTGTCAACAATTGCCATGTCACTTTCAGAATCGGAATCAATTATAATTTTAGCGTCATTCTTCTGTCCACGACAGTCTACAATCAACATATCGCCATCAGAATCATCCGATTGCTCCATTTTCTCCACTTTTGACTCTGTTGATGACTTTGGTTTGTGCCAGTCACAAAGAATTTCATCTTCACTTTCTGACTTGTTCTTTTCGGTACTATCCAATGCAAATCGTCTCCATGGAATCATTTTCTGCTCAATGAAGCAATTTTCAATCCATTTCTTCGGAATTATTTTGCCTTTTCCTCTCACTTGATTGTATTTTGGAGTGTTGCTGTAGGCACAACTGTAAAATGTAAAGCATTTAAATTAGGAGATAAATAGGACGAATTAAGTGGTATGGAAAATATTTGTATATTCTTCGAATGGCATGAGGAATTGTGCGCATTGTTTTTGGAACTAGACATCATGCAAATTACATGGAATTAATTTATTTTGATTAATCCAAAGATTTATTTTAAATCTAATCTTAAAGCTCAGGATTTATTTAAATCTAGCTCGATTTGTCAAGACTATCAAAATCCCAAACTGAGCACAACTATGCTCCACATTGCAATTAAGCGAGCCAACGAACAGAATAAATTACAGCAATAAATTGTCACTTACATTAAATGAGTACAGGTATCATCCCAATCAGCTTTGTATTTCGCACCCATATCTAACGCCTTTTGACGAATTATGCCACGTTCTGGATTTTGATAACCACTAATTACAAAAGTAACGCCTTCCATGAGCTTATTAAAAGGTCTATATTTAATTTCCTTATTGGTTTTCTTTTGCGTTGAACTGTCTTCATCTTTTAATTTATTTCTTTGAGGACTTGATACCGAAGATCTTTTTCTTTCATCATCATCATTAAGGAATGAAGAAAATTTGGATGTAGATGGTGATGATTTTGTTGGGGTAGGCCTCACTGGATGTTTTTGAGTGGAACTTTTCAGTTCTTTATCTTTTTCGATTTTCTTTTGAAGTTTCTCGTTCGGTTCATCGTCACTGCTATCATAAAATAAACCTTTCGATCGATTACGGTCTTGTTTTACTTTGGCTGTTTTAACATCATCGTCGTCAACCTTTCTACGTTTACTTTCTGACTCAAGTTTTGCCTTTAATTGCTCTTTAATCGAGAATTTTGTGTCGGATTTTGGCGTTACTCTTGAGTTTGTTGAGTGTGGATTATCTTTCTTATTTTTCCACTGTGCAAAAGGTGACGTTTCTTCTTCATCGTCGGAATTTGAGTCTCGGAATCTAAACTTGCCAATTTTTGTTGTAGCTTTTGGAGCTACTTTTGGTGTCTTTTCTTGTGACGGCAACTGGATCTTTGGAATCTTTGACTTTATTGGTGAATCATCATCATCATTTGGTGTTACTTCCTCATTTGTGTGAAGATTAATGAATGACAAGCCATACTGTCTGTGATTATTGAACGGCTGACTGCAAATTATTTTAACAAGATCCCATTGTATATCAGCAACAGCTGGATTAAACAGATCTCGTCCAAACATTCTTACTCCATTTGGATTTCTCTCATTCTTAGCATCAAAAATAGTCATTAGACTTGTGGCTAAGATGATTTCTTCGAATTTTGGAGGCACTAACATTGAATTTCCTACTAATATCTCAATAACTCCTGTAAATTCATTTCCTATGTCTATTTGTGTAAATTTATAAGGCTTATCAAGTTTAAGGATCACGAAGACTGACTTTTCACCTGCCTTCTCGCATTTCCACTTCTTTGTGATTTTTGTTTCTATCAAATTTTTTGCCGGGAAATTCTGAAATATAATTAAACTTTAATAACAACCATAATTAATGATATTTCAATGTAGTTTGACTTACAGGATCTTCACTGCTGAAACTGTGTAATGTAACATTCGTTATTTGTGGCATTTCGTATAATAAATTAAGTTAAAACTGAAATTGTGAAATTTATTTTTGTTTTCAAAAAAGAGGGGAACTCAAATAAAAATCGCAAGAAAACACGTAGCCAACCCCTCAACATCGAAAAAGTAAACAAAAAGATCCAGTGCATCCAAAAATTAAGCATAATCAAGCAAAATGATGGCAGATAAGAAACAAAACGACAACAAGAATGAGAAGAAACGAAAGGAAAGCATTCTAGACTTGTCAAAATACCTGGAAAAGCAGATCCGTGTCAAATTTGCCGGTAAGTTATTTGCTGAATATTTTTTCACGTTTTAAACTCCATAATACTAAATTTAAGGTGGTCGTGAATGCTCAGGAGTGTTGAAAGGCTTTGATCCACTGCTTAATTTGGTCCTCGACAATACTACAGAATATTTGAGAGATCCAGGTAAGAAAATAACAAAAATTTTACCAAAACATCCAGTCAATTATAATCGTTTGCTTTTTTAGATGAGCCATACAAGTTTTCTGAAGACAATAGAAGTCTCGGACTTGTCGTTTGCAGAGGAACCTCCGTTGTATTGATATGCCCACAAGACGGAATGGAAAGCATCTCTAATCCTTTCGTATCACAAGATTAAAATCATGTTTAATTAACTTTAAGTAATTAACATTCTTTATTGCGATAATTTTCATCTTATAAGGTAATAAATAAGTAAATAAGGAAGTAATATTTTTCTCAAAAACATAAAGCTTTAATCTAGTCCTAGTTCATTTCTGATCCAAGGAAATTGCTTTGGACATTCGTTACAAGTTATTAAGTACCGATCTTGTTGAAGTACTCTTGAGTGTAATTTACAGCTGTTTGGGTAGCTACAAGTCTTTTCATTAGGATCTAATTGCTTTGGTGAACATTTCCAAGGTTCAAAGTTGTGTAATTGATTGACTGGTGTTGGATTTCTCATCCATTCAATCGCTTGATTATTTGTCACAAAATAGACATCTGGAAGTTTCTCAAGAAATTGCAAGAACTTGACAAACACATCCATATATTCAGGCTTTTTAAACCATCCAGAATGGAAGTATAAACCTAACGGTGCACGACTTGTTGAATAATGTCTCTTAAAGTTGTGCATAAACATCCTAAACACATCATCACCATTTAAATTCGCTGGACATTGATCAGCATAAACACAAGTACGTCCATCCTCTACTTCTAATTGATTCATTACCATTTCCCAAACACCAGGATAGCTTCTTGATGGACAATTATTATCTCCAAGGCATGCATGTGGAATTTTATAGTCGAGTGTGTATGGCCATAATGGGATATTTGTGAATGGTGCCACAATTGATGAATCATACACAAAACCAAATTCCTTCATCATTAAAAATTGTCGGTTCCATCCGACTTTCAGGAAAGGAACTCTAATTCCTCGAATCTCTTCCATCCTCACATTTGCAAACTTATTAATTATATTAGCTTGTCCAACAAACTCGTCAAAATAATCCTCAATTGTCGCATTATCCCTCCACCAAAATTCAGGTCCACGATGTGTGATTGAATGCAGTGCAATCTCATGATTCTGTTCCCAGAGTTTCTGTATTTTTTGATAATCTGTGTATTGATGGCTGATGAAGAAAGTTCCTCTTATTGGACATCCATTTGGATTCTTTCTCTTATTTGTGAATATTTTATCTTGGTACAAGTTCCAATTTTCCATATTAATTGAGTCATCAAATGTTAAAACAATCATCTGAGGCGTATTAACAGGCTCAAGACCACCAGGAATTTGTGTAGAATCTTTTGAACAGAAACATTCAGGAAGCTGACAGACTGACAAGTCACACTTATCTGCTGCATTTGGGTCATTATTTGGATTGCAATATCCTTCATCACTTCCGTCAGGACAGTCTACACTTCCATCACAGAAATATTCATTTGGTAAGCATGTTCCATCACCGCAACCTAATTGTGCATCGTTAGCACAAGGAGCATCATGTAAAAGAGGCTTTGGAATCTTGGTCTCAGCAGTTACATCACAATTGTCAACATTTGCTTTAAAGTCACTGCAAAGAATGAGAATATGAGGAAATAAAATAGAGAAGGCGTCAAAAATGCAATTGACATACCAGATTTGTCGTGTAACATCAAACAATAATCCCTCGCTGCAACGAAACTCGAATACCTCACCATCGAGACAAAGGAAATATTTTGAACATTCCGAGTATGACCACATTCTGTTAATTGCTCGATGTGGATTTCTAAGAAAAATAAAAATAATGCAATTAACTGTGAATAGAAATGATGGACATTAGCATAAGAAATTGTCTTTCGTACCTATAAAAACGTCCATCATCTAGACATTCAATTGTAGAGTCGCGAAGACTACGCTTAACTAGATTATTTGCGGTGACTGTTGATGAGAAGAGAGAATATATTTTTATGAGAAATGTCTCAGACATAAATTTTGGTTTTATCGTATTATGATCATAATAATAAGCCATAAAAGTGCAATGTGACTAGAGACAGTTTTGTGTCTCACGTTACACACTTTTTTTGTCGCTTTTTTTTGTACGTTACGCAAAAAAAAAACAACTTTTTTCAACCCCCCCCCCCTTTCCCCTTGTTACAATATGTTACAACTCACAACCCCCCCCCCCCCCCCCCTGAACGTTCATAATTTATTTTATCATTAAAAAGGTGGAAAATTTAAAAAAATGTTTTTGGTGTGAATTTTCGTGAACTTTTTTTTAAAAGACAGACGACAGTTGGAACGTTACATACTTCTTGACACCCCCCCCCCCCCCTTATGTTACATTTTGTTACAAATTTTCAAACCCCCCCTCCCCCCTAAAATGCGAACGTAATAAGTGAACGGCCCCTTAACTAATGAAGTATTTAAGTAAATCACTTTATTACAACATTCCACTCTATTTTGGTCATTATATGTTGCTTTTCTCCATCATTTATTATTTGATTATTGACGACAATGAACTTAACATGCGGTTTATCTATAAATACGCTTGCTATTGACGATGTTTTTATTTTTCAATGGAAATTTCTTTTTCTTTCTTGAACAATGAAACTTGCTTCCATTCAACTTGATGCAATTTCATTCACAGAGTCTTTTGCGGAAATTATGAAATTTACTGCTCGCGCTGCTGCATTTAACTCAATTTTAAATTAGGTATGTCAACTCAAATCTCTACGATTTTACATGCTTTTATTTCTGTTTTAAATGAAACTGCAAGTTGATTTTAAAGCATGAATGCGTTTACGCATGCATTTTTGGCCCAAAAACCTTGTTTAATGACTGTATCATTTAAATGCAAAGGAAGGCTTGTTGTTGCTGTTATAGATTTTATTTTCTAGCTGCTGTATATAATTAAGTTGTTTAATTAAACTGAATTAAACTCTTTTGTGCCTTAATTTGGAGATTTTTGTTTTTAAAGGTTACGTCAAATAATTACGCAATAACATTTACGTACGTTAAACAGAACTTAGCTTTTAAAAATCAATCAACTCAAATATGCATACGATATTTAAATGATCAAGTATTAATAAACAACTTTATGTGAATGTTCGCAGATGGGATTTCATTCAAATTTATTGAATTATTGAATCCATAAATTATATCCATCAATATTCCGAGAAAAAGCTCACAAAACGATTTTACTTCACGCATAAAATCATCATCATATTAGCAACGTACATCCACATTATTCATACAATCTTGCTAACATATTCATAAATATTTCGTACAATCTACATCAATACTTAACGCATCGTTGAAATAATTTAATGGCATTTTAAGATAAAAATTAATGCACACCCGACTTCTATTCATTCTTTGCAGCTTGTAGACGTTTTGTCTATTATTTTAATAAACTCAATGCATTTAGCGGAAAAAATTATTAACCGTAAAGAGACAGTAATAGAGAAAAGAATCAGAATAGAAAGTATCTAGTCGAGCGAAATTTTTCTTTTTTATTAAAGAATTTCTTCTGTGCCGACTACCGCAAAAAGGAAGCTTTTTGCTTAAAGATCTTTGTTTCAGTTTACTGTAAACAAGGTTAATGGACATAAAAATGAATAGGTCTCCAAAAAATAAACTCAGTTTGTACAATTACGCACAGTCCGAAGTTTTCATCTCGTGCTTTCTCGTTGAGTAATTGCTGTTTGTGACAAATTAAGCAATGATGGTAAGATTAAGAAATATCCCGAGCTGCACGATATTAATTGGATGTCAGTGAGTTTAGATCTTTGAACTTGGAAGAAAGGTTGACTCGAACTCTTGGTCTTAGAGGTGGATGGAAAATAACAGCCTTTGAAATCACATGGGTAAGACCGTTTCATTTGTCAGGTTTTCGATCAAGTCGTATCTTACTCAAGGAGTTGTTCGTAAATGATGTTGAGCATTTGGAGAGTAAGGGGAAGTCTTTCGTAGCGCGAAAATGAAGGAGGATAGGTTGTTGAGTCTCAACATTCTTTGTTTTTACGTACTTCATTTATGAACGCATTTATAGCTTGAGCTTAATTTGACTCTCATAGTTAGCTTGAGCTTAGCTTAACTCTTATTAGTCTAGGAATAGGTAAACGACTCTTTTCATTAAATTTGCCACAAGTTCAATCAACTTAAATCTACACATTTTCCAGAGTGATCCAATTTAAATTCACTACAACTTTTTCTTGTACTTAATAATCAACTTCCTCAAAACCTTTGCCAAATTCACTCAACAATTGTCTTGAATAATGATTAAAAATATCAACTGATATCCAAAACATGTGCACCTCGGGTCACAATTTACTTTTTCCTTTCATTTAATGAAGATCAGCACTCAGCTTTGTTTTTAGAAAATCGGATGAGAAAACTCATAAAGTAAGTTTCCTGACAGGCAGGCTTTTGAACTATCAAGAGCTGTTTTCTACAACAAGCAATAAAAGTTTCTCTTAAATAGGAAATATAAAACTACTCAAAAGTCCGCATATTGTCATTGATATGCATTGAAATCAATTAGCAATACATTGTGCAACAATAATCAAGAGGTAGCACGCGATAGAATATTAATAATAAAAAAAATATTTTCAAAATAAGCACATTGAACTGCATGTGCCTACGACATTCAATTTTAATCTCTTAAATGTTTTCTTTTTCATTTACCAGCAGTGAAAGTGAAATGAACAAAAATTCCCAGACAAATCAAACGGCTAATTTGATGTAAAACGACACAGTCGGAAGTTCTTCTTCGGTTGAGTTTCATGATTTAAAGCCAAATTAGTTTCATCGATTAGCACTTAATTCAGTCGTTTCTTTTCGATTGCTGTTCTTTTGTCTCTTAATTGTCTCGTTCACAAGACGAGCTTACGATGATGTATTGTTTGTTATCAATTAATCTTATGTTTCAATTAGTTTTAATCCTCAATTTGGTCACGTTTTTCCACTTTCTTTCTTCGCATATATATGGTGCACATGAATACTGACAAAAAAAAAAATAGAAAATTTTGCGACACAACACTACACGGCAAATAAAAAATATTATTATATCCACGCGACTATACGAGAGATGCTAACAGTGTCACGATGCAAGAAGCACTGAAAAGCAAATTTTATGTTTCAATTAAATTTATAGCATTTTTCCGTACTTACTTAAGTCTCTCTTATTTTTTTCAGCCTTTTCTTTTTTTCAAACTCAAGATCTCAAGACATAAGACAGTAGTTGAGCTGCTGCTGCTTCAATTGAGACGTGAAGAGTCGAGAGAAGAAAAAAATTATCTCATGAGCATAATTAACAGCGTACTCAATTAATTTAAGATATTATTCAACATATGTAGTGATGGACAGTGTATGTTTTCAATGCCAATGTCATGTTTGTTGATTAATAAAAGACATGCATGAATATCATCTATGAAGAGAGAGCATAATTACTTGTTATCAATTACGTAAACATGGGGAGGATTGTAGCGTAGTAATAACAATTATCTTGTTAATATTGCGAGATTGGCGGGAATAATTAAATTTTATTTTTATATAATGGGGAAATTTAAATACATTGGACATGCTTAATAGGGGAAATAGGAGGCTGATATAGCTTATGAAATATATTGTTTTGTTGATTTTTTGACATTTACACTCAAAAATATTATTGTTTGGCTTTTGAACTTTACAATTTTATTATCAACTTGATTGTAAAGCTTTTTAAACTTATCAACTTTATTGTAAAGCTTTTTGAACAAAGCAACTTGATTTAAAACTTTTTGAACTTATCAACTTGATTGTTAAGCGTTTTGGACTTATCAACTTGATTGTAAAGCTTTTCGAACAAAGCAACTTGATTTAAAACTTTTTGAACTTATCAACTTGATTGTTAAGCGTTTTGGACTTATCAACTTGATTGTAAAGCTTTTTGAACAAAGCAACTTGATTGAAAACTTTTTGAACTTATCAACTTGATTGATAAGCGTTTTGGACTTATCAACTTGATTGTAAAGATTTCAAACTTATCAACTTAACTCTAAGCTTTTTGAACATAGTAACTTGATATAAAGTTTTTTGAACACATCAACTTGATTGTAAAGCTTTGTGAACTTATCAACTAGATTTTAAAGATATTTTAAGAAAGCAACTTGATTGTAAAGCTTTTTGAACATTTTAACTTGATATAAAGCTTTTTGAACTTAGTAACTTAATACAAAGCGTTTTGAACATAGCAGTTCTATTATAAATTTTTTTTTTTTGATTTTTACAATTTGATAACTTGATTGTTAATAATTTTGAACGTATTAACTTAATTATAAAACTTGTCAGGGGCGTAGCCAAGAATTTGAAGAGGGGGGAAAAAACTTTTTTGTATGGAAAAATTTAAGGGGGGGGGGGGGGGGTATTTTTGTGATTTTTCCATAAAAACCCTAGCAAAATAAATAAATTTATTTATTTACGTTGGGAGATTTTTTCCCAAATACCCCCCCCCCCCCTTGATTTAACTTGATTGAAAACTTTTTGAACTTATAAACTTGATTGTAAACCTTTAACGATTCTTTCCCATATTAAACATCGAAGCGCTTTTGAGCATCTTCGTACAGTCTTTACTCACTGCCGTTTGTTTTGGTTTCTTATTTCTCCTTACTCGCAAGTGATTTTTCTTTTAAGTTGAGTTTTTGTTATTATTACCAATATGTTTAAACGCCTTGCACTGTCATTACCGAAAAGATTGTGTAATCCACAAATTAGGAGGTCATCATATCATTGTCTGGTATCTGTAGATGAGGTAGATGGCATTAGAAATATTGTTTTAGATGATCCAAAAACTAGAAATAGTTTGTCAATGTCGATGATGAGTCAGTTGATTGAGGAAATTAAGAGAGATGAAGATGATAAGGATTTGAGAGTCATTCTTCTGGAATCGACTGGTCCAGTTTTCTCTGCTGGACATAATTTGAAGGAACTTTCACCTGACAAGAGCTACGTAGAGAAGAAAAGTGTTTTTGACAAGTGTCATGAATTGATCAAGTGTATTATTGACTCTCCAGTGCCTGTTGTATGTAAAGTCAATGGATTAGCTGCCGGTAAATCTTAGAAAATTGCGAAAAGTATCAAAGTGCTCTTATTACTATTTTATTTAATAGCTGCCGGATTACAATTGGTCGCTTCGTGTGACATTACTATATGCAGTATAAGTAGTACATTTTCAACACCCGGAAGTTCTTTTGGCATCTTTTGTTCCACACCAGGAATTGCTTTAAGGTAAAATTACAGCTTTAGATAAATCAGTACTTATCTTAATAGCTTTTAATTCCACTAGAGTAATTCCTCGTATGAAATCAAGTTATATGCTTCTTACCGGCTTGCCAATAACATCTGATGAAGCACTGCGTGCAGGATTGGTGAGCAAAGTTGTTCCACGAGAAGAACTTGATGACGAAACGGAAATGATTTGCAATGCAATAAAGTCAAAGTCACGTGCTGTTGTGACACTTGGAAAGAAATTTTATTATGAGCAACTTGGAATGGGATTAAATGAGGCATACAAAGCTGGATCAAAAATAATGGCAGATAATCTGGAACTGTATGATGGCAAAGAAGGAATCAAAAGCTTCATTGAAAAGAGAAAGCCGGTGTGGAAAGACGAATAATTAACATAGATCTTTAATTCGTTATACTTTATAGAAATGATTGCATTTATTAATTGGTTTTTAATGGATTTAAAAAAGTTTTTTTAATTGACTATAAACATAAAATATATCAACAATGAATTATAAGAGAAATAATTAAGACTATTCATATAATTATCAAAATATTTCATCCAGACTTGGCTTTACCACGTCCTCTGTACATCGACATTGATTGTGGTCCCTTCATTATTCGCAGCATCATTTCCCAGCATGTCTTTGCTGGTAAGAGGCTAAAATAATAGATTTAAATTAGTTTTAAATTCTGGTTGGTAGACGCATCGTGGCAGATACATATCCAGACCATCCACTATATTATCTAAGTGGAAATCTAATAGACTTGCCATGACAGCTAGAGAATAATGTTTTTAAAGTAATATTACCATTTAAGCGGAAGCAGAAACCGCACTGAACCAGGTAATGTACAATTTACTTCATTCTTCAACGTTGATTCTACAAGTTGGTCTGCAACATATTTTGCTTCGAGCATTGGAAATAATCGTGGCTAGAAACAGGCAAGAACATTAACATTAACTCAATTTGACTATAGAATCCACATCCAATGTACCTTCACTCCAGAAAACATTCCTGTATTGATATAATAAGGACACACAAGAGTCATTCCAATATACTCATGTCCATGATACTTCAATTCACTGTACAAGCTCTCATGAAAACCCACAGTCGCAAATTTTGTCGCCGAATAGTCTGTGCATGCGTATGTTCCCATTAATCCGGTTACGGAGCTTACTGTAACGATATGTCCACGCTTATCGGCAATCATGTCAGGAAGAAATGCTTTTGCGGTCTACGGATAAAAAGAAGGTGTGAGTTAATTTATGAGAACATTAAAAAGGTACTATAGCTTCCTACCCAATAATGTGAGAGTATATTAACGGCATATGTTGACTCAATTGCTTTGTCTGGAAGATCCAAAAATGGACGGCATGTTACAATACCAGCGTTGTTGACCTTTAAATGGAGCACATTTAATTTGACATAAATTAATGATACTTAAAAATAGGAACTTACCAAAATATCGACCTTTCCAATTTCCTCTTTAACTTTTTTGGCAGCTTCATAAACCTTTTCCCTGTCAGAGATATCAACGATATAAGAAGCACATTCATAGCCTTCCGTTTTCAGGGCATCACATGTTGCGTTAATTGCTGAAAAAAATTACATGAAAATTTAATTAAAAATTTGATATGACATGGGTTGTGGACTAGACTGAGAATAAATTAATTATTTTCGGATGACATTTGATGCCACAAGACATGATAATAATGTCTGTAAATAGTCATGTGAAAGCATTTCCTAACTGTTAATAAAAATGTGACAACATTCAATTAGCAGCTCTAATTTCGTCCATACAAACAACTTATTCGGTATTTTTGAGATCCACAGTAACATGCCGTAGTCTCATTAATGCAAACACACAATTTCTCATAAAAAAGGTGCAAATAAATGGAAATTAGTGGAACCAACATGCTCTAATGGAGAGCAGAAAGTTTATTTACATTTTTCTATGTCTGCGTCTCTGAAATTTGCATAAATTTTTGGCACTTCTCGGAGAATGATGTCAATGAACCAAGATCTTGTGAATGAAGAAGCTATTTATGCTAAACAGATGCCAATATCTTGCTAATTTGATTGGTCTTTATTTTCTTATCAAATGACTCTGAATGTCTTTTTGAATACTTTATTATACAGTCATTTAAGGTGTCAGAAGATGCAGAATTCCGATGTGAATGACTAATTTTGTCATAGATGAATAGACGCGGTAAAAAAGTCAAATACCGACTTAAGATGAAATTGAAAGTTTTTTTGGAAGCGGGTTCAGAAATTGGAACGAAACTTGCCCGAGAACTAAATTGATGATTTTGATTTAATAGATTATTGTAAGATAGAGCAGACGGTTAGCTAGACAGGATCAAATTTGGAGGTTATGAGTACTGTGTCTAATACATAGCAAGCAAAACTTTAAATGGGGTGCGGTTCATCTGGCAGAAACCATGGATTTCCATGTATTTTGAAGGTTCTCTATGATCTATGGATCGTTTGTCAAAGTCTATGATCCGGACTCCTTCACTGTGTATCTTTTAATGACGCTATTTAGGTATAGGAGAAAATGAGTCATTTTACATCAAAGTCACGATAAACTTCCAAAAGAAGCTTTTGAAGGATTGTTTACTTCCTTAAATACCTTGAAAATTAATTTATGCTTAATGTCTATATATATAAATCAAATTATGTTAATCATATTCACACCATGCTTTAAACACGTGTGATACTAAAAGGGAAAGCCTCAATTCAATTATTAATTCGGTTTTCATTGTAATTAGTCATTTTCACATGTTTGGTGAACGAATTTAAATATAGGCAGCATATATTTGTTTAGCATTGCCAGGTCTTTTTTGTATCTTAATGTTCGACTCATTAATCAGTTTGAGTTTCGACTTTAAATTGGAGTTATTAAGACATTTGTTTGTAAATTGACTTGATAGATACTCAAGTAGGAACAAATTAATCTTATCCCGGGTGGACACAGCCAGTTAAAGTCCATTATTGGACAATAATTTAACAGTCTTTTAACTTGCCAAAATTTAAACGACATAGAGAACTCGACGTTAACTAGACTTTAACTGGACATTCATGCTAATCAATCAAGTGCTCGAAACTCAAAAATAATTTTCCTTACTTTTTTGGCCATATACTTCACAAGCGCTTGCAGAAATCACTTATATAAGGTCTACCAAAATTTGTATGAAGCTTTTAAGCAAATATAAATGTTTCACGCGCAAGTGTTCGAGACTCAATGCTTAATAGAGCTTTTTAATAAGTGTTAGTGTACTTTAATTAATTAATTACACTAATACAATAATAATATTTTACATAAGAAAAAAATGGAGAAAAAGACACGTGTTATTTATTTTATTTCGATTTTTTTGTAATTGGACATTAACTAGACATATTTGCAATTCCTATGTCCAGTTAAATGGAAAGCGCAAAATATGTCATTAGTCGTCCCTAAGTCTAGTTGCAAAGGCACGTCAATGGATCCTTACTCGCCATGAATAAACAAGTCAATGGCAAGCTTTTAACTAGTACTTTGTCCACTCGGGTATTTGAATAAAGTTGGTTCTGTAGAATATTAAAGCTTTGGATATTTGCTTGTATCTTTGAAAATATTGGAGGAAAACAGAATATGAAGGTTTATAAGCCATCGAAATGTCGCTTTGATAGATAGGAAAATTTCTGACAGCAATAAAGTAAGATACAAGTAAGATAAAGCTGTAATGCGTCTGTATCTTTCCTTAAACCTTCATTTCAAACTCATTAATTAAAGCAATATCTTCTTTAATTTGTTGCAATTAGGACGAACCATAAACCCATAAAACTCTTTTATTACCTTCTCGATTCACATCCCAAATGACAATCTTTGCATTAAGTTTGGCAAAGTTCAATGCAATATGTCGTCCAACTCCACCACCACCTCCAGTTATAAGAACAACTTGTCCTGTAACGTCCTGCAAAAATAAAAATGTAAATTATTGCAATAAAATTAATTTTAAAGTTTTGAGGATGATATGAAGGCATTATTAAGGCAATATTACAATAAAATTTTATTAAGGGATAGTTATCATGTCTGTTGATTGGTTTCATGTCTGATTTAATAATTTATAACACAAATTAGCTCAAACAAATCATTTGAGTAGCATAAATGTCAATCACAAAAGAAACATTTTAAACTTTATGTCACAGCCGAGTTATTGATCGTTTTTGATCTCGCTTATTAAGTCATTAAAATTTTCTACACATTAAAAATGAAACAAAAAAGACAATTTAAGTTGTAATGTTTAATAATCGATAAATGAGCAGTTTCATGAACGTTGCTGTAAAGAGATTTCCAGTCTCCCAAATATGTACAGAAAGCGTCGCAGCTCATGAGGAAATTTTTAGAAGCATGAATTTTATGTGTTTGAAGTCCGAGATGTGTATGATTGGAATATCCTAACAAGGGTTGCTCATTTATAATCTTTTGGTCAATTTTGCTATCGAATCATCCAGCATATAAAAAATATTTGTTTGTTACTCGGGATTTTCACCTCAAACACATCCACTGAATCATTCATGAATAGCTCATAATATTATGTGTGAAACATTCATAACAGACGTTATTTCTGGAGAAAACCAAGCGAACGTTATTGAGAATTGAATTGTAAGTAAATTTACTTTGATTACAAACAAATATTTAAATATTTATGAGACATTGGCTACATGAGACATACATTTATATTGACTTATTTTTCACGTTTGGGGGGTCGTTAACTTATTAAGTAACACAAAAACTCAATTTTAATAATCTTCTTTCCTAAAAACTTGCAAAAATTGCAAATTTTTTGTCATAAAATCCCAGAATCTTAATTTACGAACATATTAAGGATCGAACCCCATAAAACATTTTAACGTATTTTTAAGTAATTTACGCATTTAAAATCGGTCAATATTGTGTCATAAGTGTTTTTTTTTCTCATCATGAGCCATTCTAATGTGCGAAATAGCAATTGAGTAAATGATCATGATTAATATGTCCAATATACCATTTAAAAGGAAAATACCGACATTATTTTAGAGTCAAAGGCAAACAAATTTGTTTAAAAACAATCTTAAAGCTATTGATAAGCATTTCTAGTCCCCATTTAAATATGTATGGAAAGTTCAAGTTTGTTCATCTCTTTTCCATTATGCTTTACAGATGAAAAACATCTTTAATAATTCGGAAATAAATTCATGCACGATGCGACACCGAACTGTATATGTATGCAAATTTGTAGACATAAAAATATTTTTAAAGGAAATTCCATTATTATGTCATTATACATTCTTTTGTTATTTCTCATTTTTGGGTGTATTTATCGAATCTTCGATAACAATAAATGTTACAATTTTAAAGCTGATTCGACTAAACTTGGAAACAAAAATCCCTTTACAATTAAGATTTATATTTTATTGCTTTTTGATTAAAAAAATCTATTGAGTCACGAAGAAAAGATTATGATCAGAAAAGAGGTTGAAATCATAATTTATGGAGAAAATTTATTGGTTGTAAAAAAGTTTAAAATTTTATTATTGTTGTGGATTTAAATAAGGTTTTTAAAATATAAAACCGTTAGAATTGTAGACTTTGAATTTAAATCCGTTAATTTTGTTGACTTTGGATTTAAATCCGTTAATTTTGTTGACTTTGAATTTAAAACAGTTAATTTTGTAGACTTTGAATTTAGAACCGTTAATTTTGTAGACTTTGAATTTAAAACCGTTGATTTTGTAAAATTTGAATTTTAAACATTTGATCTTGTAAAACTTAAGAAAAGATTGATAATCAAGCATTAAAACTTCGGTTCAATCTTTAAATTCAATATTCCTACACTTTAATCAGGCAATTAAAATAATATTTCGATCCACGTATGAGCTACTTTTAAATTACTAGCAGTCCATTGACCTATTTTCACTTCAACATTATTCATGTCTGTTTTTGTAATTTAAATACAAAATAAACAAATTCCTGTAACTTTAACAGCTTTACGCATCACGAAATTTATTCAAAATTTGAGTTACGATCATCAATATCTTGATCCAATAAAAACTCAGTCAATTAATTTTTTTATGTCTTCCTAAAAATGACAAAAAGCATTTAAGTTTTCAAAACACCCAAAAAAAAAAAACAGGAAAAGTCTGCTTCTAGCTGCCTACAAATTATTTAGCTTTAGAGGGTTCAATCAGAAATTACATCTGGATTTAAGGTTTGGAGAATAACAGCTCGAGATTGTTTAAGAAGCTAAAATAGTACACCATCAGTGGCAGATTAAAAGTCTTAATTTTTAATAGACGTCATTTATAAACAACCCCCAATATTTTTTAATTTGCGAAAACTACGAAAGCAAAAATTAATTTTTGAAAATTATTTGCGGCAAGTACACAATAGCAAATTCTATGCCTGACTAATTAAAAATGACTTTTTATGATGCCTTTGTGTAAAATTGACTGCTGTCTTACCTTGTGAATGAAATGAAATTCACTACTCAATGGAATGTTTCTACAGCAGCCAGAGTCTTTTAAACATTTTTCAATTTCGCACAAATGGTGATGAATGGATGACTTGAAATTCGCATCAATCTCGTGCGAAGTTCGCCGCAGGTTATATTTTTTTGAGCAACTCATTCGATTGTTATCATGTTTCAATCATGTTACATTGAAATGCTTTCAAATGATCACATGCATGGTGTGGAATGTGAAAAAATATTTGAAAATTGTGTTGATGAAAGAGATTGGCTGCTCATCATCATTTATAAGCTGTTGTCTTGAGCGAATGTACTAGATTGATCTGTCAAGTGTTAGATATGATGTTGGTATGTAAGATTTATGTAGATGATGAGTCGTTCTGGGTGGTTTTAGAGTTGAATGGAATCTGTTACAGTTATCCATATCGTAAGCTGATCTATCAATGCTAAAGGACAAACTCTTTCGTAGATTAGTAAGGAAATAGACCGGAACAGCTGTCTCTTTAATGAGGAAATATTTCAGATTCTGAATCTGAATCTTCAAAATCTAGTTTAATTTGTGATAAACTTCAGAACTTAACCTTAATAGTTTTCAAATTTTTGAGGTCTACGCTAAAATAACCAATTTAGGTCAGAAACCAACCAATTCAAACGCAATTAAACAAAATTCCACACATTAATCTCCAAATCACATCTAAAATCCTAAGATTGATAATCAAAAATTCCCCAACAATCACTAACCTCATTGTCCTCGGCCTCTCTTCTCCAATCAACCATTATTTTCAAATCATGAGCGTATCCATGGAAGTAAACAAGCTCATATATGAACAAAGTGAGAGTAGAAAACTTTACATTTCATAAATGGAATTAAAAAGATCATAAACAGCAAAAAAAAACTTTGCCACAATAAGTTCCATTCATACTGTTAATATGCTTGATGGTTGAGGTTACGAAATTTATTACTTTGCAATGGATAGACGAAAAAAAAAGAGTTTTTGCACAAAATAATAATAAAACATCATCATTATGAAGAATGAGAGCCATAAAGGAGGCGTGAAGACATATAATATGTGTTAATGCTTTCATTTGTAGTCAAAATTAGTCATCCGTATGTTTTGGTTAGGCAAATAATCAGCATGATGTGCATTTTTAAGCATTGTCAAAGATATTAAAATTTTTGTAAATTTATCACTCTGTGGAACCGAGTTGCACATTTCAAATTGATCTGTGGAAATTCTTTTGGCTTTGGTGACCTTCACTGATGTGACATGGAAAAGTAGCGTGTCACTCATGAAAGTGAAGTTGCAAAGAGGATCCAGTCCACATCCAATAACTCCTCGGACCACAAATAAAAATGTCATGAGATGTAGGACAATGGGCAATATTTTGTGAGGTTAGGTGTAATTCGTCACTGTGGTTGAATAAAAAAAGCTCTAAAATGCGCATTTTGAATAGTTAAATAAAGTAATTAGATGCTTTTTGTGAGACATTGTCATGAATACTGATTACCTAATATTATGCCAAAGCCAAACATTCAACAACAGTCTTCCGTATGTAGATTTGTGACAAATAAATGTAAGAATAGACAATAATCGAATAGTAAAGTTGTCAATACGGAAAATGAAGATTTCTATTAAGCATTACACGACGAACCCTTTTTAGTTCATTTCACAAATGTTTACTCTAGATGAACGTTGAATGAATTGATCGTAAATCACATATTTGGACAATCAGATAATAGTAAAATATTATTATGAACTTTTATTTATTTTTATTATTTATGAAACCTCAATTCATCATCGTCACATTCATCGATAGCTTCTGCATCTTCTAGGTTTCACAACATGATATGGGAAAGACATAAACATCAAAAGTTTTCAACTAATCGTGATGGTAGACAAATTGAATTTTGTACTGATCAATATCTACTTCGGTTGTTGTGTGACGAGAAAGCTTAGTTGTTGTAGGTTTTGTCATTTTTCTGTTAACAAATTTGTCAAAACATGAAATGTGTTGAATTGTTGGGCATGATAAGATTCTGTTGTATGTTGTTTTAGATATTTTGAAGCGGATTGATTCATATTAGGTGGTCGACATTCAAATTAGTTCAATAAACTGTTAATAAAGTCTAGTCTGATTTTGTATGAAAATGCAACATTTTAAAGATGATAATGGGGATTAAAATTAAAATATTTTTAAATGCCCTGTACAATAAGATAGTATTTTCATAATTAAAATGTCTACAATAGTGTAACACCTAATTTAAGCAAATACAATTTCTAGTAACACGTGTAATAAATTGCTTAACATTGTAATTTTGACGAAGCAGCTAGTAACAATTGTTATCAGTAAAGTACAGCAATAAATCATTAATGGTTTAAAACTATCTGCTTTAGAATCTTTAAATTAAAAAAATTTCTTAAAAATAATAACAAACATTTATAAATTTGAATCTTAAACTGCTTAACCGGAAGAACTAATTCATTATCTATTGGCCATGTATGTCATATTATTTTTTCATGTCACGTATTCATCAGATAAAGATATTTCTGTTTTAAATTTTATCTATTTTCAAGCATCTTAATATGTTCAGTAAAATTAGTTTGAGATCCTTAAATTGCCTATTAACACGTTTATTCATTTTAATTGCAATCACAACTAGGTTATCTCAAAAATCTAGAATCTAATCAACAAAATTAATGAAGATTGTTAAATCCATCTTTCAATGATTCATCCATTCATCCTGTCATAAAAATCACGCATGTTTTTAAATATTGCGCAAAAAGTATGAAAACGCACAAATTTTTGATGTATTAATAAAATATAATTTATTATCGAAATCACATAATTTTCTATCTGTCACCAATTTTGATAATTATTTTGCTTCGTTGTTGTTCAACAAAATTGAATTAAATTAATGTAAAAATGAGATTTATGATACTTTGAAGGATTTTGATTCTCAATTATCGGTCGTAAAACTATTAATTTGCAAATTTTCTTTCCACTCTTCTAAGAGGTTTTAATAATAGCTAGAATAGCCCTTTGAAACCTCAAGAAGTGATAGACACCAATTTGAACTCTTATTTTAATTTTAAAAAACTTGAATCTTAACTATAGTGAAAAAATCAATAAAATGCAACAAAGTAAAGCTCAACGAATGCTATAAATACCTGCCTCTAAATATCTTATTCAAGAGAATTGAGATAAGCTCCAATCAGCTATGAAAACAAACAAAGTAAATTTGTTCATGAAAAACTTACATAATTAACTTCCATTGAATGCAAATTTACGAGACCTCAAGTCGACCACAAAAAAAAAATTAAAAACTAAGATGTAGTTTTTATTCATAACTTGGAAAAATTCAAACTTAAAGAGTTTATTTCAAGAAAGTTAAAGGTTGAACTCAAGAATAATAAGGCTTGAAATTGCTTGATCATTGCGCCAAAAACTTAACATTCATCCCAATTTGCAACCTTTTTAGTTCACCACATTAACAACAATGATCATCAAAGGAACAATTTAGTCAAATGAACAGACACAACCCAATTCCTACCTCCGGGTTCAATGAATTTTAAATAGTTTATAAGTTATTAAATTTGCTTAATTCAAGTCATTAATTTTGTTTGTTTTAAATCGCAACAACTTAATCTCTATATAGTTGTTCATATGAACAAGTGCGGCAATGAGATGCGAAACGCTGAAAGTATCGATGCCGAAATAATATTTTGACAAATTGGTTTCATAAAGAAATTGCAAACTTATTGAACAAGTAAAAATGATTTTTTTTTTTTGAAAGCTGTTTGAATGAAGAAATTTTATTATTTGAAGACACTGTTGACAAATCACTTTTTTGGCATGGATGAGTGGAAACAAAAGCTAAGTGAATATTGTAGTAAGTGTCGTGAAACAATGAATTTCTGCAGATGAAATTCCCCGGCAAAAGTTCAAAAACGTTGATATTTATTTAAGTAAATGAAATTATACAGACATAAAATAATTACAGATGAATGAATCAATGAATGTACTTGATTTTCTCTATTCAATATAATTATACTATGGAATGTCTACATATCAACACATGAGATGAAATGAACGATCTTTTTGACATTCAGGAGTTAGACACCTGTTATGTGTGCTTGCTACACATTGTTCTTGATTATTCAAATCTTTTTGTTTGCAAATTTAATGAATCAGTGAACCCCGAATGATTTCATGTGCTTAACGACGCAGTAATGGCGTAAATATGTTCTCGATACTTAGGCTTAAGTGTCAAGTCGTCGCACTATTTCATGGACACAGAATATTGCCAGAATTTTGTTTATTTTGAACATTTTAAAAGTCCTCAGCAATATTTATCAATTTTTCAGACAGTAAATGCAATGTTAACTGTTGAGTTGATACGAAGTGGAATGTGGGATCTCGAGCCACTTATAGCAAAAGTTGGGATTGTTAGAATAAAACCTATTAGAAATATGACTTTGTTTGATATGATAAGGTTCAAAGCTGATCAAAGCTTAAAGCATTAAAATGATTTCCAAAACTGCATATTGCGCTTCTTTAAAGCTTTAAAATTCAATCAAATTAAATCAAAATTTCACTGCAGCCCAAAAATTTATATCGATCGCATTAAAATGCAAAATAATTGATTCAAATAATGATGATGATACCTTTGGACAGTAATAAACAAATTTATATACGTTTGCCTCAATAATTCATATTAAAACTCACAGGAAAATTATCATTGAAAGTTGTAAAGTAGCACACGAAATAAATGTAAGTTTCTGGTTTATTAACGTCAATTAATTTTGTTAAATGGCGAAGCTTTGTTTAATATACAACTATTTGGATGTAAATTATGAATTTTGAGCCTGCATAATGCACATTTTATATGAATTCTTAGGTAAATCAGATCATAGCTTGTAATTTTATTCTTAAATTCTAAATTTAAATTAAAATACTTCTGAATAAGAAAATTTCAATTGAATATGACTTTAAACAAATCATCCAGTAACACGGTTTTAATCTCCTTTGCTACACAACTGTCTGAGGAGTCCCAACTATTAGATATGCTCCTAACATATCATACAATAATTCGATTGTATTCAAATTTTTCTAAAACATAACTTGAATTAATAAACTATTGATGAACTCATTAGTTTCTGTATATCCACATTTAAAATTCAAAGAAAATTGTTTTTTCAATCAATTTCTAAGAATATTCAATTTTCAGCATGAATACCAATGTTATGCTAATTCACGAATCTTTATTTTTTGTTTTAAACTTTTTTTTTTTTTTTATTTTCATAAGAAACCCTTTAACTCTCGTGTATCCACTTCACTATTATAATTGCTTATTTATACCTTAAATCAAACATCAAAACCACTTAACAATTACATCAAGTAGAATCTTTCATTACCTTCTTATTTCTTAGTCGATCAGGCAACAGCGTCAAAAATATTGTTTCCAATAGGAAATAGAACGATTTGACAGTACACACAAGAATATCCAATAATAGTGTGTAAATATACTCAAGTGGATTTTCATAGATTAGACCAGGCACCATTTTTTCTGTGTATTTATTTTCTTCACTTTTCTTCGTTTCTTCTTCTTTTATTTTACAAATTTTCTCTTTATTTAAATTTGATGAACACGAAAATTACTGGAAGTTTCACTCAATAATCAAATTAATTTTGTGACTTTTCTAGTCCAATGCATTTAAACTTTATTTATTTTTTTTTTGCTAGCTTTACATTCACTTTAATTATTTTATATCCAATGAGGTTGAAGCAAAACAAATTTTCAGACTAAAGTGAAAGAATTTCTAATTCTTTGAACACTGAACACTTGAAAAAAATTGAAGAAACCGTTAAGTTTTCAACTAGCGCAGCAGACGATAACTGTAAGACTGAAAGCATAACATAGAGCTAGATATCGAAGTAATGTACAAGAGGAAGGCAAAAGAAGTCAGTGGCGTTGTTGAAATAAAGAGTTGTGGCAATAAAGCATTGTGTCTCGCCTCTGAACACTCATTTGTACTGTTCATTGCTTACTTTACATGTCGATAATATTGAGAAAGCTGAGAGAATTGAGCATAAATGAGTAAAAATTGATTTTTAAACACAACACGTGGGTAAGAAGTCATGTTAATGAATCATCATCATTAATTTTGATGTTGCAGAAAATTGATGATATTAATGAATTGCAGTAGCATGCAGGAAAGAATACATTTTTTTATGAAATGATTAATGTTGCTTTTTTTTGCATGATCAAATGTCGCAAATTTTAAGTATTGTGTAGGAAAAAAGTGAAATTTTTTTATTATTACTGTTATTATCGTCATTTTCGATGTTGCAATTTTATCAGTCATTTATTGCAATTTGTGTTTGCTGATTGACAAAGTTTAATTAATTTTATGGCATGCTTAGTATTACCGTGCATGATGGCAGGATATTTGATGTCAATTCTGTGACATTAATGAAGATTTGAAGACATTAAAAGTACAAAATATATTTTTTTGTAAATCAAGCATTTGATGTCAGGATGGCAACATCAAAGACACTTTGTTAACTTCTGAATGATTGACTTTTCCAACCAGAATTGTCAATCAGGCACTGTTAATTTTGATTGAACTGATTTTTTAAGAATCTCAGGGCTGTAATAGTGATATTAATTATTTATTCGAATTTTAAAGACCGAGACCCAAATTTTAAAACTTTCTGGGAAATCCGGAAAACTTACTTCTAATCTCTATTCTATGAAATTCTTCTTCTTAATCCCAAAGCTGTTGAAAATAAAAATAATTAAATTTTTCACAAAATCCAATAGCATTTGAGTGGAATCTTCAAGATTTCTGATTAGCTCTCATTTTCATAAGAGCAAGTAAAACTTAATGTCTTGGTTTACTAAAATTCAATTCAAAGATCATTTTGAAAATTTCTTTCTTAATCTTACTTAACCTCAACGGTTTTTAAAAATCTAAAATTGTGTCTGATGTATAAAACTAGTGTGTCTCTGCTAAACGTATAAAACATGCATCAATTTTCTACACAAAAATGCCGAATACATGTTTAACATCTTAAACACTTGTTTGGACTTAATACGTCCAATGTTAACGATAAATACTTCCTCACATAAAATTTTTTTAAAGGTACTTTACATGTAAAGCACGTGTATGACCAAAATCAGTGAATCATTGTTGTTCCTTATGAATTTTGAAATAATCAATGTGTTTGCTGCGCACTGAGCATTGTTGCCAGTTTTTTGTTTACATCCTGCAAAGGATATTTTTCTGGAGAAAGTTCTAGAAATTTATTTCTGTAATTTTTCATAATCTTGGATGTTGAGTCGATTAACTAAGAACAAGTAGACTATCATTCATAGCTCATTAACAAGTTGACAATAAATATTTAATGTCAAGTATAAAGCATTCCTGAAAAGTGTTTACGACTCCTCATAATTATTAAAACAAAACTGTTAAAATGCAAATAAATTTGTACGAGTGTCAGGACAAAGATCATTGATTCTATCTCCAGTTGATCTACGCGAGAACTTTACCTTACTCATTTTTTCTTCTCAATCAATCAAGTGCAAAGCAAAAAAAGCTCGCTCAGAAAGTTTTCTTCTTTCCAACTTCAATGAGAAAATAAGTACATATAGCTATAATAATAAAAAATTGAGCAGCTGAGTATTGGGTTAAGGTTGGATGTGAGCATAATAATATTTTAGAGTTTCAGCGAGCACCGTGCAAAGTTTTTCTTACGAAAAAAAAACACAAAAAAAATCCAAAACATTTCAATTTGAAGCGTTGAAGAGATCGGGTTGAAAGTAATTTTTGCTCCATCGAACAGCGACGATCAACGAATTTATATTTTTTAATTCTGCAATTAAAGTTTTGTTGAAGTGAATTTATATTCGAGGTCTCGCCATAATTTCATTTTGTTTTTTGCTCTCCTCAAACTTCAAATCGTGGATTAACAAGTGTGTGAGGAATTTTGAAACAAAAAATAAAGTCCGACAAGAGAAAAAAAGTGAATTGATTCAGCAAAAAGAAGTTGCGCTGATTATTTGCGAAAGATACTTAAAAGTTGAGTTAATTGAAAAGGACATTGAGGAATAGTGAATAGTTGAAAAATGCGATAAGTTGAATCGTAAGCAAAGAAATATTAGAAATCAAAAGAAAGTGAAAATAGCTGGAAAATTAGTTTAATTTCGTCTTGAAAAAATATAAAATTAGAGAAACAGTGAAAAAAATTGCAGCTATGAAAATGGCACAAACACAGAAGTGGTTATTCTTTGCTGATAGGTTTGAAAATAAAAAGCCATCATCACAGATGTCAAAATTGGATGTTGTGATAGATTTCATCGTTTTTCTTTTGGTATCAGTTGGATATTGTATAGAGGTAAGCTATTGATCGATCAGAACGAGATATTTCAAGGATCATCGCACATTGATGAGCAGGCATATTATAATTCATTACTATACCTTTAAAGGTTGCAAAACGTGTTCAAAAAATATTCAAAAACCTTTTATAGCTAAATTGTCACAAAAATATCTTTGTGGGTTATTCTTAAATGATGTTCAGTATTTCTTGATGATCTGATGTTGTCTTGGATTTCATACAATAGGCTTAAAAAGTAAATTTCTTAACTGACATCATTTAAAGATGACCCCTAGACTAAAACCAGTTATAATATGTTACATCAAATTACAAAATCTTCTTCATTTTATTCAAATATCATTCTATGATGATCTACGGAATGTCATGACTTTAAACTTGGAATTGAAAGTGAAATACAAAACAAATCAATCGCTTCTTTTTTCTTCTACGAGTTTTTTTATGGTTTTAAAATTATAAAATTATAGCATAGACAAGTTGTAGACAAATTTTCTGCTGATGAACAAACAGAGCGCAATATTTTTAAACACTACTGTTTTTTGTTTAATCCAAAGTCGTCTTCAAGGTTTAGTGATTTTAATGAATTTATGACATTCAATTTTTTTGATTCTTTTAAATGACATGAATTGATTTAATTTATATTTTATTGCAAATTGAATAGATATATTCTTCCATTCTTAAAGTTTATTTATATTTCACAAGGAAGATAATCGATTTTGCTTTATCTATTTGCTAAAGATAATATTTTGCAAACTATAAAAATTTAGCAGTAATCATAGTCTATCTATTAGCACTTTCTAAGGTCAGGATTCTTCAAAGAGTTGGTGATGTCTGTTTGCATTGAATTTAAGATGATTTGAAGTATCTTTGGAAGATTCATTGAATGATTGACTGTAAGGAGGTCAATCGTTTTGAAATGGTGATAAGAGATCGTTCTGTTTAAAGCACAGCCGTCTGTAGTTCATATTAATCGATTATTTTCAAAGTAACGTCAAATAGATAAAATCTTCTGAAAGTTTAGTAACGTTAGGGGCCGTTCACTTATAACGTCCGAAATTAACGGTCATTTTTTTAAAAAAGAATTTTGGATTTCCTGGAATTTCTATTGGTCTTTTCATGCCGACTCCTTTGCATCTTTGTTTGATCCTATGATTTTAGCAGCTGTTTGATGATTCTGACCAGATAATATATTGTTTCAAATATATTCCAAAAACATTTATCCATCAATCCGTTCCCAGATCAAGTTTTCATCCACTTTTAATTTGCAGTTTAAGACATCAAGCTATAGCCTTAGGGGCTGTTCACTTATTACGTAACGCGAAAAAATGACTTCTTAGACCCCCCCCCCCCTCGTAACAAAATTTGTATGAAAAAAAAATTTCCTTGTTTGAACCGTAACAAAATCTTAGACCCCCCCCCTCCCCCTAAAAGCGTTACGTAATAAGTGAATGGCCCCTTAGTCAAAACAGACAAATCAAGTAAATATGCATTAAAAATTACGGTCGTTGAATAAAAAAGAAGCAGTTAATTTCGTTTGTAAGATATTTAAGTTCAATTTGCATGCTCTTTAAAAACTCGACATCGCTGTGACTGACTTTCAAACCACTGTGCAAACTCAAATGAACTGACGCATATAAAGTCTCAAAAGTTTCATATTTCTTTGTAACATTTTTTAAATGGAAAGTAAACAAATGACGGAATAAAATTTGCAATAGTCAGTTAAAAAGGGCCAGTTGAAGAAAGCTAATGAAGCTCAATGCTAAGTTATGTAATTTTAATAAATAGGAATTACTTGTATTATGTGTAAGATGCACCGATGCGTTCAGAAATTTTAATCATTTGCAAGCACTGCAAGCCACAACAAATTTCCGTAATTACCCATCACTTGCGAAGTTTTTCATTCTTCTTTTGTGTAATTTGAAAATCGAGGAAATGAAAATAAAGTTCGATTGTTGTAAGCATGATACTAACATACTTCCATACTTCCGCAAACTTTTATAAGCAAAACAGAAGAAATGCGATGTTGAAAATTTTCATTTGAAATTTATGGCTTTTCCCAATCGACAAATCTGCGTAGTTTATGGTTATAAAACAACGTGACAAGATGTAGAGATGAAAAATCGAATTTTAAAGAATAATGCTTCTAGAAAATTGCATAAAATTGCATCTGACAATCATTTTTGCTATAACTGTATATTGCGAAATTCACTTGAAAAAGCTACAAATCACTGAGACTAGTAATTGCATTTCGTGATTGACCAGAAAATTTTAAATTACCGCTAGCGACGTGATTGAAAAAAGGTCTAGGTCAACGGCAATTTTTTTTTTGCTAATTATTAAAGGCGCCAATTGTCTACAAGAGATTGTGAAATGAAATGTAAAAGTTGATTTAGGTATCTGCTTCAGATGAGCTTTTAATTATGAATGATTAAGACAGTCAAACTTGAACAAAATGTCTTTTAAAGGAATCATTTCTAGTTAAATCTAAATTTCATTTAAAGCACAATCTAAACTTCTAGAATCGACAGTAAAAATTTCACAAATTACACTAAATAATCATCTCACGAAAGCAGAAAAGCTGTCTGTCTAGTTAAGCAATAATTTATTCAAACTACAAAAAATCTAGCGAACCGGTTACAACCCTGTATGCAAATTATGTAAAAATTGATGATCTTTGGGATTTTACAAAGAACTTGATCAGATGTATCGCCCTTCAAAATATCCAAAAACATTTCCATAAATAAGGCCATATCTTTCCATATCCTATTCCGTACACAAAAAACTGTAAATTTTGCATCCAAAACGAATTTGCAGTTGAATGACTTCTCTGTTACTTATTTTTACGAACGTAACATGCAAAAAATTGAAGAATGCTGCAAAAAATCAGTCGATACCACGATTTATGTAAATTTTATGCAGCAGATCCATAAAATAAATTTTCTATTGAGCTTGATTTAATTTGCATAATTTTTGGTTTTCTGTCCTTCAACTTGAAAAATAGATGCTAATCCAATCATATAGTCGAAAAGATATTCGTGAATTCTCAATTATTAATAGTAATATGCACTTAGTTAATCCATGCTAATTATTCATCGATTCTTAAACTGCGAATTTAAATCAAAAACTGTTCATACAATGTTAAATTTTATGGCACATTCAACAATGAATTTTATGACTTAAATTATCAATAATTACGTGCTGGAATTAGAAATAAGGCTCATTTCCCTTCTAAAATTAGCATTATATATGTCAAGCAATCGTGTGTGTTGTATGACGTATAAAAAAATCTAAAATTACAGCATTATGCAACGTTAGCAATCTTGGCTTCTCTCGTTTAGTTTCTCTTTCCATTTTCATTGAGAAAAATGTTTTTAACGACCATATTTTTATGAAGCTAAAGCACTTACATCTTTTCATTTTGTCTAATGATGGAATGGGGAAATAATTTTTTTGCTTTCACAATATTTATTGGTAATGTCAGCGAGATTTCAGGTGGTCTCAAAAGTTGAGTATTAAGGCCCTGGCAATAATTACCTTTCAGATTAATTCACCACATCAGCATAATAACAAGTAGACATTTCTGTTAAAATAATTTAAATGCATTGCATTTAATAATTAAGTTAAGAATATTACCAATAATGAACTTTTCGGGCACTGATGCAATTTATTAATGTCTCGAATATCAGCTCGATCTGGTTGAAAAAGGGATTTACATTAATCCCACACCGAAATGAATGATGAAACCTTCCAATGTTGTTCAACTGAAGTGAATGAATTGTGATGACAAGTGGAATCATTTTTCATAGTTCGTCATTGTTCCTTGCGTTTCTGTAGAAGTTTTTAATGCATTTTAAGCATTTTTGGTTCCAGTTGGGTCATTCACTTGTGACATTGACTGCTATAAAGCTATAGTCTTTAAAAAGTTGCACTAGCTTTAAGAAAACTTTAAATTATTCCATTCTCTGTTCAAATAATTCTCTATTCTACTAAGTGCGCCTTGAATCAAACTTTCAACGTTCCTTCTCTACTGCTTTCTCTTTCTAAGTTGTATTTTTCATGCCTTGTTGCCATAAAAGACTAATAGTAAGCAATATATTAAAAAATATATACAAATATTTGCAAGCACATAATAATCAACTTTAAGCATAGGAAAGAAAACAGAAATGTGAAGTAAAGCAAGCAAAAAAAAAAGTGTGGTGCAAGACGAAAATAGAGACTGTAAATGTTTCTTGCATTCTGCTTATTGCATTATTGCATAAAAAAGTCAGAAACCAGTCTCGGTTGCCCCTCTTGCTATTTTATTTAATAGCAAAAAAAATATGTATGTCAGCTTTGTAGATGCATCTTATGTTTCATACTTTTATTTTCATTTAATAATGCAAACTTCAGCTTGGATTTATAAAACAAGACTTTTGAAAAATTTATGATTAACAAAACAAAATTAAAAATCCTTGAGTTAAGCCAAGTTAAGCTTATAGTACGTGATATGAAATGTAAACATTAAACCACGGTGGTGATTATTATTTTAACGTTGATTGTTGATAATCAAGAATTCGGTATTCATCAGAGTCTTTCTATTTTTGTACTAAGTTTGTCATCATTATCATAATAATAAGTACATCAACGGAAGAAGTTCGTTCCGTCTGAGAATTTTTCATATGGTTTGTTTATCGTTCTGCTTGTGAATTTTTTAAATTAAGATTTTTTATCATGTTTTGCTATATTCTGCCATATTATCATCTGCTTACTGCAATTCCTCGACAATTTTGCCACCTACCTCACTTACCATACATATTTAAATATCTCACTTGATGTAACATTAATTTTAAACGTCACTGTCTACTATCAATCAGCAATGACAACATCTTAGGCTGTTTATATACATAAAGAGTAAAAATTATTAGCAGTTATGCCCAAATATTTACCATCGAATGTTATGAAATTCTTCAGAATATTTTTTCTCATAAGGTTTACACTTGAAGATAATTCTTACAAGTCAGATT